ACCTTATAAATACCCTGTAAAAAACCTTTAAAATACCTTGTAAAATTTTCCCGCCAAAAATTTAACGTCAAAAAAATTGCGGAATCACTTTTCCGCAAAAGAAATTTTTTGGCGAGAAAATTTTTTGGCGGGAAAAAATTTTACGGGAAAATTTTACAAGGTATTTTAAAGGTTTTACAAGTTTTTACAAGTGTTTTGGCGGGAAAAATTGCGGGATCACTTTTCCCGCCAAAAAATATTTTGTATTTTGTGGACCTAATTTTGTTATATTTCCTTATATATTTGTGATATCTTTTATTAAAAGAAAGGTAATTTAGTCATTTTGTACATAAAAAGGGGTATTTTTAAAAATTGACAGCCAAAGAGGGCATTTTTGAAAAGGGTATTGAAAAAGGGGCATTTTTGTGAGTCTCCCTAAAAAAAATTATGCAAAGCAGTACAAATTCTAATGAAGTATAAAAATAGAGAAAACCAAGAATTTCCTATTCCTCAAATCTTGAACTACACCATAATGTTTTAGAGAAATAGGAACGGTATTACAACTTACACATTGACTATGAAAGGAGATATCATAACAAAATAATATCCATGAAAGGCAAAAAGCTGAGGAAAAAAAAAAATGAAAGGCAAAAAGCAGAGTACTCTGTAGTCTGTAACTTCTAGGAACATTTAATAAGTCTTCTTCTTGTCTCACATGTATCAGATGTAACTGAATTTAATCAAAAGCATGTCTTAAAAGTAACATTTGAGAGTGAACATAAGAAGAAAGAGCCTTTATGCTTAAATGGAGAAAGGACAGAGAAGCACAGATTTACCTTAAAAAAAATGCAGTGTGGCTATAGCAGCACATTGAGATGAATGAGTTCAAATGAAAAAAGAAATAGATTTGAATCAAAGATTAACTCGCAGCAGTACTGTAAGATCAAGTTTCATAAGATCAAATAAAAACTATTACTGATGCATACCAAAAAAACAAAAGCAGATATAGATTAACTTGTACATCCAAATGTCTTACTTCTTATTTCACATGTGTCATGTGTTCCTTGAAAAGCCTCTGTGCGTCAAGATTAGAGTTTGCATTTCCTGTTGTCATCTTCTTGTAAATCCCTCTTTGCTTCCTTTGCATTTCCTCCAGCAGCAGCAACAGCAAAATCAGCAGCAATCTTTTCTCGTGACTCGGGAAACAATCTTTTCAGTATTTCTTCACTTTTATATGCAGTCTTTGCGCTGCTATCAGATGCTGAGGTAGTAGAATAAGAAGCATCACTACTTGTGTTTTTTCTTCTTGACTGACCAAAGGGAAGACTCGATTTGATGACTGGCCTTCCATTGACTATGCTTGGAATTATCTCGGCCGCAAGGAAATCCTCACTGCAGTATGGACAAGCCAAGTTCTTGTTAAGAGAATTAGCCCTCACAAATTTACAAAGTGTCTTACATCTATTGCACACTGTCCAAGAGATACTTGTTTTCTCTTTGCTCGGTGAAGAATCAAGTTCGGGCTTAGGCTCAAACCATCTTCTCATTCTTCTGGGTGCAGCATTTGAATTTGAAGTTGAGAAAGTGTCTCTTGTGTTTTTGCTCATTGGCTGATTACAGGGGCTCAATGTGATGACTGGGCTCCCATTGTTTGTCTCTGGAAGTATTTCGGTCGCGACTAAATCCTGATGGCAGTTTTGACAAGTTAAGGTCTTGTTAAGATAACCCCTCGTAAATTCCCAATATGTCTTGCATCTGTTGCTACTGCACACTGTCCAAAAGGTACCGTAATTCATCGTTTTCAATGAAGAATCAGGCTTAGGCTTAGGTTCAGACTTCTTAGACTCAGGCTTAGGCTCAGGCTTCTTAGGCTCATGCTTCTTAGGCTCATGCTTCTTAGGCTCATGCTTCTTAGGCTCATGCTTCTTAGGCTCATGCTTCTTAGGCTCATGCTTCTTAGGTTCAGACTTCTTAGACTCAGGCTTAGGCTCAGGCTTCTTAGGCTCAGGCTTAGGTTCAGACTTCTTAGACTCAGGCGTAGGCTCAGGCTTCTTAGGCTCGGGCTTCTTAGGCTCAGGCGTCTTAGGCTCATTCTTAGGCTCAGACCTAGCCCCATAAGGCTTAAACTCAGACTTATACTCATGTCTCTTTGGTGGTTTCTGCCTTACACTCTCTTTCTGTTTAACTTGGTTCGATCATACGCAATTCTCTTAGCTTTATCAGATAATAAATCCCAAGCTTGTAGAACAAGCTTAAACGCACCTTCAGCACCATCAAACCTGTTCTTGTCCGGATGAAGCAAAAGAGCTAATTTCTTGTACCGCTTCTTCACTGCTTCGTCATCAGCTAAACGATCTACACCGAGAGTACCATAAAAATCAGCTTCTCCGTTGATCTTGTTTGATGCAGAGATATAAACATCAATCATCATCAACACTTGTTCCAAACCATCGAGCTTTGGATACAAATTCTGAGCCTTGGTGACTAATTTTTTAGCTCCATGGTAATCATTCTTTGAAAGTTTCCTCTCAGCAATATCCAATGCTCTTCTAGCTTCTTCCTTATTAGACTCCATGCCGTTGAAAGAGTTTTTTCCTCTACAGAAACAATCAGAGAAGCAAAAGACAAAAAAATAGGTTCAGAGGTACAGAACCAAAACAGGAAAGAACAGTTTCAAAAACAGATTTGCAACAATTCGGTGAATATAACAATACCCATTAAAGAAACTTTTAAAATGTTATAAGTAAGCCACTTCATTATCTAACTATAATCTCAAATAAAATGTTATAATCTCAATTTTGTGTAGTTGGTTAGGTCATTGTATGAATTATGAGAGTAAACATAAGAAGAAAGAGCCTTTATGCTAAGTGGAGAAAGGACAGAGAAGCACAGATTTACCTTAAGAAAAATGCAGTGTGGCTATAGCAGCACATTGAGATGAATGAGTTCAAATGAAAAAAGAAATAGATTTGAATCAAAGATTAACTCGCAGCAGTACTGTAAGATCAAATAAAAAACTATTACTGATGCATACCAAGAAACTAAAACAGATATAAATTTAACTTCTAAATCCAAATCCCTTACTTCTTATTTCACATTCTGTCATGTATTCCTCGAAAAGCCTCTCTGCTTCAAGATTAGGGTTGGGGTTTCCCAGTCTTGTCAGCTTCTTGTAAATCCTCTTTGCTTTGTTTGCATTTCCTCCAGCAGCAGCAACAGCAAAATCAGCAGCAATCTTTTCTCGTGACTCTGTAAACAAAATTTCTTCACTCAAATATATTTCAGGATCAGTATTCTTAGGCTCAGGCTTTTTAGGCTCGGGCTTCTTAGGCTCAAGTCTCTTAGGCTTATTAGGCTCAGGTATCTTAGACTCAGGCGTCTTAGGCTCATGCTTAGGCTCAGACCTAGCCCCATAAGGCTTATACTCATGTCTCTTTGGTGGTTTCTGCCTTCCACTCTCTTTCTGTTTAACTTGGTTCGGTCTCCTCTTTTGATCATAAGCAATTCTATTAGCTTTATCAGATAATAGACACCAAGCTTGTAAAACCAACTTAAACGCGCCTTCAGCACCATTAAACCTGTTCTTGTCCGGATGAAGCAAAAGAGCCAACTTCTTGTATTGTTTCTTCACAGCTTCATCATCAGCTAAAGGATCCACACCGATAATTCCATACCAATCAGCTTCTCCGTTTGGTGCAGAGATATAAACATCGATCATTATCAACACTTGTTCCAAACCGCCGAGCTTTGGATACAAAGCCTGAGCCTTGGTGACGAATTTTTTAGCTCCATGGTAATCATTCTTTGAAAGTTTCCTCTCAGCATAATCCAATGCTCTTCTAGCTTCTTCCTTATTAGACTCCATGTCGTTGAAAGAGTTTCTTCCTCTACAGAAACAATCAGAGAAGCAAAAGATAAAAAAAAAATTAGGTTCAGAGGATTGTGTACAGAACCAAAACAGGAAATAACAGAGTTTCAAAAGAAGCCACGAAATATCACACAATATCAGAAACAGATTTGTTGAATATAACAATACCCATTAAAGAAACTTTTTGCAAAATCTCGAGCTAAGCAGAAGAACCCTAGAGACGCCGCGAGAGACTAGAGAAGAGAAAGAAACTAAAAGACGTAAAATAATGGTTTGGAATTGGAATAAGTAAAAATTTATAGGTTGTTGATTTTCCTTTTACTAAACGAAGATTCGATTTCCTATTTTGCTTTTACACGTAACGCTTAGTGGAATAAAAAGGAAAATTTATTAGCTCAGTGATTATGTCCCAAACAATTGTATCTCAAGCTTTATGTATAGATTTGTATAAAACCACTAGGGCGATTCAAGCGTGTATTACACGTAACTATTATTTCAAGTGAAGATATGCAATCTCAACTGAAATGATGTAATTAAGCCGCTTCATTCTCTAACTATAATCTCAATTATGTGTAGTTCGTTAGGTCATTATATGAATTATGAGAGTGAACATAAGAAGAAAGAGCCTTTATGTAAGTGGAGAAAGGACAGATAAGAGAACAGATTTACCTTAACAGAAATGAAGTTGTGGCTAGCAGCAGATTGAGATGAATGAATTCAATAAAAAAAAATAGATTTCAATCAAAAGGTTAACTCGTAAATTCAAGTTTCACAAGATCAAATAAAAAACTATTACTGATGCATACCAAAACACAAAACACATGTCTTACTTCTTAATTCACATCTATCATGTGTTTGAAAAGCCTCTCTACTTCAAGAGTCGAGATTGCATTTCCCGTTGCCATATCCTCAAAAAGCATCTCTGCGCTTCAAGATTAGAGTTTGCATTTCCTGTTGTCATCGGCTTTTTGAAAAGCCTTTGAGCTTCATGAGTAGAGTTTTCGTCTCCTGTAGACATCGGCTTCTTGAAAAGTCTCTCTGCTTCAAGACTAGGGTTGGCATTTCCTGTTTTCATCGGCTTCTTGAAAAGTCTCTCTGCTTCAGGAGTAGAGTTTACATTGCCTGTTGTCACCGGCTCCTCGACAAGAGTCTCTGCTTCTTTTACATTACCTGCTTCAGTAGTAGAGTTTTCATTTCCTGTTGTCATCGGCTCCTTGAAAAGGGTCTCTGCTTCCTGTACATTTCCTCCAGTAGCAGCAGATGCAACATCAGGATCAATGTTTTCTCTTTTCAAAACGTCTTCTTTTTGATATGCAGTCTTTGCGTTATCAGATGCTGAGGTTGTGGAAGAAGCTGCACTTGTCCTTTTGCTACTTTTGCTATTTGACTGAACAGAGGGACTCAATTTGATGACTGGACCGCCATTGATTATCTCTATAATCATCTCGGCCGCAACGAATTCCTGACTACAGTTTGGACAAGGGAAGGTCTTGTTAAGATAATTAGCCCTCACCAACTTACAATGTGTCTTGCATCTATTGCACACTGTCCAAAAGGTACCGAGTTTTATCTCTTTTTCCGTCGAAGAATCAAGCTCAGGCATAGGGTTAAACCATCTTTTCACTCTTTCGGGTGCAGCTTTTGCCATTGCTGAAGTTGAAGAAGTATCACTTGTGCTTTTCCATGTTGACTGATTAGAAGGACTCAGTCTGATGACTAGCCTCCCATTGATTAACTCTGAAGGTATCACGGTTGCAATGAAATACTTACCGCAGTTTGGACAAGGTATGGTCCTATTAAGACAACTAGCCCTCATAAATTCACAATATGTCTTGCATCTATTGCAAACTGTCCAAAAGGTTCCGACTTTCACCGTTGTCAATGAAATATCAGGCTTAGGCTTAGGTTTAGGCCTAGTAGGCATAGGCATAGGAATATCAGGCTCAGGGCTAGGCTTAGGCCTATTAGGCGTAGGCCTAGGCTTAGGCTCAGGTGTAGGCGTAGGTCTATAAGAAGAAGCTGGCTTGTCTGGCTCTGTTGGTTTATGCTTCTGTGTTCTCCTAACTTGTTTTGATTTCCTCTTTTGATCATAAGAAATTCTCTTAGATTTATCAGATAATAGATCCCAAGCTTGTAGAACAAGCTTAAACGCGCCTTCAGCACCATTAAACCTGTTCTTGTCCGGATGAAGCAAAAGAGCCAACTTCTTGTATCGTTTCTTGACAACTTCATCATCAGATAAAGAATCTACACCGAGAATTCTGTACCAATCAGGTTCTTCTGTTCCTCCATTGATCTTGTTTGATGCAGAGATATAAACATCGATCATTACCAAGACTTGTTCCAAACCGCTGAGCTTTGGATACAAACGTTGAGCCCTCTTAGCATATCTTTTCGCTCTGTTATATTCATTCTTTGAAAGCTTCCTATCAGCAATATCCAATGCTCTTTTAGCTTCTTCTTCCTTATTAGACTCCATGTCTTTGAGAGAGATTCTTCCACTACAGAAACAATCAGAGAAGCAAAAGACAAAATAGGTTCAGAGGATTGTTTACTGAACCAAAAACAGGATATAACAGAGTTTCAAAAGAAGCCACGAAATATCATATCACACATAATCGGAAACAGATTAGCAACGATTCGGTGAATATAACAATACCCATTAAAGAAAGTTTTTGCAAAATCTCGTACTAAGCAGAAGAACCCTAGAAACGTCGCGAGAGACGAGAGAAGAGGAAGAAATTAAAAGATGTAAAATAATGGTTTGGTATAAGTAAATTTATAGGTTGATTTTCCTTTTACTAAACGGAGATTTGATTTCCTTTTTTAGATTTATATAAACCACTAGTCGAGTCACGCGTGTAATACACGTAACGCTTATGGATGGAAAAAAAGGAAAATTGATTAGTTAGTAAAATTAAAAGGAAAATGTTTTAGCTCCAATTACTTCAGGCCTAAACAAATTGTTTACGACAAACGTTTGTTTTTCTTGAATTGTGTGGCTGTGATTAGAGCCGAAAATCATCAGAAACTGTCCTGTAATGATTTAAGCATGCTCTTTAACAGATTTGGTCTTTTTATGGTATCGATACTGCCATGAGCATCTTTGTCTGATGGTGATCGTGCAAGGGACTTATCTTATGTCTATATCCAAGTTCAATCTAATTCCATTAGTAATTGCAGTAAAACAGTTGTTCAAAACAGAGAAAAGCAAGGATTCAAAGTCATGAAACCCAATTTTCTTGACAGAAAAGGATCTCCCACAAATCTTGAAACTACACCACAATGTTTAAGAGAAGTTAGGACATTACACATTGACGATGCAAGGAGAACTTGCTTTTGCTCCACTGTAGTTAAAGTCTTAGAGATGAAAAAAGAATTATATCATATCGTAAAGCATCTTTAAAAGCCAAACAAAAAAAAAAACAGAGAACTCAGCAACTTCTAGAAACGTGTGATAAGTCTTTACTTCTTATCTATCTTCTGTCCTCGCCTCCTCGGCTTCTTAAGTACCTTTTCTGCAGCAGCAACCGTTTCTTGTGACACCTCATGTACTCTTTTCGAACTTTCTTGTCCTTGATTTACGGCATTTCCGCTACTAGAATTGGCCGTTACTGATACTGAACAACTCCATTGATAACTATAGGTGTAACTAACAGATGATGAAGCAAAACTCTGTGAATATGTATCACCACTTGTGTTTTGGGCGCTCCATTGTTGTTGTTGTTGTACTTGAGTAGATGATGAGAGGTTGACGACTGGCTGCACAGCACTTGCCTGTGGAGTTTTCGCAGTGGCACTAACAGATGGTGAAGAAACTCTTCCTAAAGAAGAGGCACTTGCTTGTGGAGTTTTCTGAGCTGCACTAACAGATGATGAAGCAAAACTCTGTGAATAAGTACCAGCACTTGTGTTTTGGGCGCTCCATTGTTGTTGTAGTTGAGGAGATGATGAGAGGTTGACGATTGGCCTCAAAACACTTACCTGTGGAGTTTTCGCGGTTGCACTAATAGATGGTGAATAAACTCTTCCTGAAGAAGAGGCACTTGCTTGTGGGGTTTTCTGAGCTGCACTAGCAGATGATGAAGCAAAACTCTGTGAAGAAGTACCACCACTTATGTTTTGGGCACTCCATTGTTGTTGTACTTCAGGAGATGATGAGAGGTTTATGACAGGCCTCAAAACACTTGCCTGTGGAGTTTTCGCGGTTGCACTAACAGATGGTGAATAAACTCTTCCTGAAGAGGCACTTGCTTGTGGAGTTTTCTGAGCTGCAGCACTAGCAGATGATGAAGCAAAACTCTGTGAATAAGTACCACCACTTATGTTTTGGGCGCTCCATTGTTGTTGTACTTCAGGAGATGATGAAAGGTTGATGACAGGCCTCAAAACACTTACCTGGGGAGTTCTCGCGGTTGCACTAACAGATGGTGAATAAAATCTCCCTGAAGAAGAGGCACTTGCTTGTGGAGTTTTCTGAGCTGCAGCACTAGCAGATGATGAAGCAAAAATCTGTGAATAAGTACCACCACTTATGTTTTTGGCGCTCCATTGTTGTTTTTGTTGTTGTTGTACTTCAGGGGATGATGAAAGGTCGATGACAGGCCTTAAAACACTTACCTGTGGAGTTTTCGCGGTTGCACTAACAGATGGTGAATAAACTCTCCCTGAAGAAGAGGCACTTACTTGTGGAGTTTTCTGAGCTGCAGCACTAGCAGATGGAGAAGAATTGCTCCCAGAAGACAAAGCTCCATTAGTGCTTCTGTTTGTTGCTTTAATTTGGGCACTATAATGGTGTTGTTGTTGAGGAGATGATGAAATGTTGGCTGGCCTCACAACACTTGCACATGGAGTTATCTCAGTTGCAATGAAAGTCTGACCACATTTTGGACAAAGTATGGCCTTGTAAAGATAAACCATCAGATATGAACATTGTGTCTTGCATCCATTGCACATTGTCCAAAACAATATACTGTCTTCATTACTTTTAGCGCTCAGATCCACACAGTCTCTAGCATTTTGATGCAGCCCATTAGAAGATGCTGGCTTGTTTGGATTTACCGGTTTTGGCATCCCACTAGCAGGCTTATCACTTGTAGCCGCAGCACTCGGATCCATACAACCTCCAGCATTTTGATTCCCATTATGAGAAGCAGGCTTTTGTGGGTTTGTTGGTGGTTTCTGCATCCCGGTATTCGCTTCTTTCGACTTCCTCTTTTGATCATAAACAATTCTGTTAACCTTATCAGATAACACACACCAAGCTTGTGAAACCAGCTTAAACGCTCCTTCTGCGCCTTTAAACTTGTTTTTATCAGGATGAAGCAAAAGAGCTAACTTCTTGTAACGTTTCTTCACAGCTTCATCATTAGCTATAGGATCTACACCGAGAATTCCATACCAATCAGCTTCTCCGTTGATCTTGTTTGTTGCGGAGATATAAACATCGATCATCAACAACACTTGTTTCAAACCATCAAGGTTTGGATACAAATTCTGAGCCTTGGTAACAAATTTCTTCGCTCCATTGTAATCATACTGTGAAAGCTTCCTCTCAGCGATATCTATTGCCCTTCTAGCTTCATCCTTGTTACATTCCATGTTAGGGAGAGTTTTTTTTTGCTCACTGTCACTGTAATATTCAGGGAAGAAAGATTAAGAGGAATGTTTCCATAAATTGAGCAAATCAAATATTTTTGCAGGAATCCATAAATAGGAGTTTTAAGTATAAGAAATCATCCAATTATGCTAAAAAATCATCTAAGTATAAGAAAATGGTTCAATTAACCTAATTCTAAGTTGCTGTAAGACATACAAATTCGATAATCCAAATTCAATAGAAATCGATGATAAAAGAAAGAAAAACCACACAAGTAGACCAATCATTATCAACATGGATCAGTTAAAAATAAAAACAGCCAAGTCTTATTGTAGATTAATGCAAAATTCATACCTTTTGCTAGAATTAAGAAAAGCGAGACAAAGTGAAAACGGAGGAAGTTGGGAAAATGAAATGACTCCAAGTGAGTGACAGAGTAGTTTCCTTATTATTATAGGTCAAGACCAGAAGCGTACCCATCAAGCCTTTTTGTCCTTTTAATTTTAATGTGAATAGAAATCATATAATTCGTATAACAAAAAATCATCATTCTTCCATTATCGTTTTCCCGCTCACACAAAAAAATTAAATTTACACACAAGATAAGAGAGTAACCATTAATTGTTTTGATTCTCCACGGATTTTGGAAACAATTAAAAACCATTCACTTTTCTGTTTATTTTTTCTTTTCCATAACAATATACAAAATGAAGATATACATGGATATTACTCTAACTGAAGAGATCTAATTTGGAAAATTGAATATATTCGAAATTTGTAAGATTTGGAAACTTCATGACATCTTTCCTCCATTTTTAGATTTCTTATACTAAATCGGATTATCCATTTTCTATATATTCCTAATCAAGATATTTACCAATTCATTTATAAATAAAATATAATATCTAAAATGTTTATATGACTTATATAGAATTTTAATATCAATCAATATACAGGTAAAATTAATTTCAATACGAAAATCGATGTTCAAAAAAAAAAAAAGTATATTACATGTTTAGTAATTAATACACAAGTAAATTTCAAGATTTCAGATAATAATACAGTAAATTTTGTAAATTATTACAATACATTTATTTAATAATCATTTTATCCCACACAAAGTATGAGTAAATTACCTAGTTACTGATGCAGCGAGATATTTGGAAATATTCCAAATATCTATTTATATTATCTTTTAATTTATTAATTATAATTATTCTAGAATATTCTAAGTTTTAGGGTTTTTATGTTTTTATTATAAATAGTCTTCTTAGGCTTCATATTGTATTCTGTGGATATGGAATTTGATTAATCGAAAGATTTAAAGAGGTTTTTATAAACCACTGTGAAGAGTATTCACAACCCTAGAAGAGGACTCTCAAACTCTAGTTTTCGGGTATTCTCAGAATCAACGGATCTAGTTTTATCCCTAAAACCTTCCGCTTCATCAGTTACATAGTAAAATATGAAAATTTAAGCGTTGTTCATAATTCATAAAAATAATTTTTTTAATAATTAGTTTGATAGTGACACCATCCGAGTTAGTGTGATTTCATTTCATCCGTAATTGGAATATAACAAATGTGAAAATAGAACTATGTGTACACATGCATTTACATTTACAAATTCGTAAGGCTAAAACTAGTGGAAAAACAAGATTTAAAGTCATGATATACCAAAAAGCACTTCTCATGTTCTCAATGCCCAAAAAGGCCAAAACCGGTTCTTCCAAAGCTTCTCAGCCAAATATCTAAACTACTATCTCACCATCTTAGCATATTTTTTCGCTCTGTTGTATTCATTCTTTGAAATTTTCCTATCAGCAATATCCAATGCTCTTTTAGCTTCTTCTTATTTATTAGATTCCATGCCGTTGAGAGAGTTTCTTCCTCTACAGAAACAATCAGAGAAACAAAAAATAGGTTCAGAGGATTGTTTACAGAACCAAAACAGGAAATCACAGAGTTTCACACAAAATCAGGAAGAGATTAGCAACGATTCGGTGAATATAACAATACCCATTAAAGAAAGTTTTTGCAAAATCTTGAGTTAAGCAGAACAACCCTAGACGAGAGAAGAGGAAGAAATTAAAAAGTTGTACAATTGATTTTCCTTTGTTGATTTATAAATACAAAGTAATTTATAGGTTGATTTTCCTTTTACTAAACGAAGATTTGATTTCCTATTTTAGATTTATATAAACCACTAGACGAGTCAAGCGTGTAATACACGTAACGCTTATGGATGGAAAAAAAAAGGAAAATTAATTAGCTCAGTGACTAAATAAATTATCACTTGTCTGAGTTTTCTCAACAATTATATATATATATCTCCAGCTTCACTTTCTGACTTCTCCTCTCCAATTACTTGAGGCCTAGATCCATCGTGGTGATCATAGCGAAGGCTTAGATTGACTTTCGATATCAGAACTTGGACACTTATCCGTGGAAGCCATATCTCAGGGGACATGTTGATGCTCATGCACTAAGGCTACACCACCACTACTTTTAACTATGGTTTCTTGAGATGTTGGAAAATTCTCTCTCATAAAGCTCAAGTATTTCTCTCATAAACCTCAAGTATTTCTCTTCTTTCTCACCACTACTTACCTTTGGAGTTTTCTCGGTTGCACTAACAGATGGTGAAGAAACTCTCGCTGAAGAAGAGGCACTTGCTTGTGGAGTTTTCTGAGCTGCACTAGCAGATGACGAAGAGTTTCTCCCAGAAGAAGATTCTCCATTGGTGCTTTTGTTTACTGCATGATTTTGGGTACTCCATTGTTGTTGTTGTGTGGGCAGTGATGAGTTGTTGACTGGCCTCGGTGGAGTTTTCGCGGTTGCACTAACAGATGGTGAAGAAACTCTCTCTGTAGAAAAGGCTCCATTTGTGTTTTTGTTTGTTGCTTGACTTTTTGCACTTGCTTGTGGAGTTTTTTCAGTTGCAGTACTAGCAGATGGAGAAGAATTTCTCCCAGAAGAAGAAGCTCCATGGGTGCTTTTGCTTGTTTCTTTATTTTGGGAACTATATTGATGTTGTTGTTGAGGAGATGGTGAGCAGTTGACTGGTTCCGCAACTTGGGTTGCAATGAAAATATAACCACAGTTTTGACACTGTATAACCTTGTAATGACAATAATCCCTCATATATGAACACATTTTCTTGCATCCATTGCACATTGTCCAAACCAACACACTGTCTTTAGTTTGTTTTGATGAATCAGCAGGGGCAGGGGCATGCTTATTACTCCCAGCTTTAGCGCTGGGATCCACACCGTCTCTAGGATTTTGATGCCGCCCGTTAGAAGATGCTGACTTTTGTGGATTTGATGGTTTTGGCATCCCACTAGCAGGCTTATCACTTGTAGCAGGCAGCACTTGGATCCCCATTATGAGAAGCAGGATTTTTTGGGTTTGTTGGTGGTTTCCGCATCACGGTCTTTGCTTCTTTCGACTTCCTCTTTTGAATTTTTATCATAAGAAATTCTCTTAACCTTATCAGATAACAAACACCAAGCTTGTGAAACCAGCTTAAACGCACCTTCTGCGGCTTTAAACTTGTTCTTGTCCGGATGAAGCAAAAGAGCTAACTTCTTGTACTGCTTCTTCACCGCTTCATCATCAGCTAAAGGATCAACACCGAGAACTCCGTACCAATCAGCTTCTCCGTTGATCTTGTTTGTTGCGGAGATGTAAACATCAATCATAATCAACACTTGTTTCAAACCATCAAGGTTAGGATACAAAGCCTGAGCCTTGTTAACAAATTTCTTTGCTCCAGTGTATTCATTTTCTGAAACTTTCCTCTCAGCGATATCCATTGCCCTTCTAGCTTCATCCTTGTTACATTCCATGTTAGGGAGAGTTTTTTTTTACTCACTGTAATAATCAGGAATCAGAGGAGAAAGTTTAAGAGAAATGTTTTCAAAAAGTGCACAATCAAATATTTAGGAATCCATAAATAAGAGTTTTTGGTAAAAATCATCAAAGTACCGACTTCAATGTTTACTAAACTGGTTTAACCAGAACTTAAACAGATTTTATACGGACGGAACCTTATTAGGATTTGCTGAAAAAAACCCTAATTCTATAGTCGAAATTCAATAGACACAACACAGTATACAATAAGATTCTCATGATAAAATAAAGAAAAACCCCAAAACTAGACCAATCAAAACATGAACCAGTTAAAAATAAAAACAGGCAAGTCGCAAGTAGATAGATTTATGAAAATTTCATACCTTTTGCATGGAGATAAAGCGGAATAACGTCAAATCTTGTTTATGGCACCTCGATGTCGGCTCTTGGCCACCTGAGGCTGTAGTATGTTCCAAGGGTTGACGTCTTGTGAGACTTATATGACTCTCAAGTGACAGAGTAGTTTCCTTATTATTTAGGGCAAGACCAGAAACGTACCCATCACGCTTTTTTACCTTTTAATTTAGTTTTTTCGTCTTTTTTTTTTTTTACTTTTCTTTTAACATCATTTTATTTTATTTTTGCGTTTTTCGTATGATTTCATTTCATCCGTAGTTGGAATATAACAAATGTGAAAAATAGAACTATATGTACACATGCATCTACATTTACAAATTCGTAAGGCCAAAATTAGTGAGTCATAATCTACCAAAAATCTTGAAACTAAACCAAAACATATAATAGTTGTCTCTCCAAAACTCACCACCTAGTTAAAAAGCTCTTCTCAATGCCCGAAAGCACCAAAAAACCGGTTCTCTTCCAAAGCTCCTCAGCTAAAAATCTAAACCAGTATTTCACCATCTTCAACGACCATTTCCTTCAAATCTTTGTCATCTATCAGACAAGTATCAGCTACCAATTCACCATCATCACCTGAGTGGTTTGCATCTAGAATCTCACTGTGTTCAACACTCGTGTTCTCACCAGGGTCCTTGACTTTCATAAAGCTTTGTCTTCTCGTCTGCATTGTTTTGTTATCCTCATCTTCTGCTTCTCTTTCAGTCAAATCCTTCTCATCCATCAACTCCATTTTCTTTATATTTTTGTCAGATGACTTCTTATCTTTCTCTTGTTTAGCCTCCACCTCCTCTTGATGCAGTTGCAAGTCTTTCTCCAATTGGATGACCCCAACATCATCACTTGTCTCAACCATTATAGTACCAACAGAATGGTCATCTCGATTCTTTTCAGCTTCACTTTCTGAGTTCTCCTCTCCAATTCCTTCAGGCCTAGACCCATCGTGGACTGAATGATCATCGCTCTGGCTTAGATTGACTTGCGATGAGCCTTCTTCAATATCAGAACTTGAACACTTCTCTGTGGAAGCCATATCTCTGGATATAGGTTGATGCACTACGGCTACATTACCACTACTTTCAACTATGCTTTCTTGAGATGTAGGAATATTCTTTCTCTCATAAAGCTCAAGTATTTGGCCTCGGATATCTGAAAACGCAAATGATAAATAAACCGCAGCAACAAGGTCTAGAGCCATCAAAGTTATTAATTTTTAAGAAAAAAAGATACACATACCCTTTAACTGACAGGGTTTGATATCAAACTCTTGACACAAGACCTCTCCGTATGATTGTATGTCCACTGTTAGCAGCTCAGCAGCAAGGAGAATAGCACCTGCCGCTATGTGATGAGGCTTATACTGCAGGCAGAGTGTCGTTCGCAGACTGCAAGAGACTTGTGATTGTATGAAAAAGGGAAACACAAGGCGTATAGAGAACCATCAGAATTCAAAAAGCTTTCAAGTTACATAATCAAGCATACCAATCGTTGACCAAATTCCATGCAAATTGGGCAAGTCGGGTCTTAGCATCTTCAACCATATATTTCTTAATTGCTTTTACAAGAGGTTTATAAGGGTGGTGAATAAAGAGATCAAAGTTCAATGTAGAAAGAACAAGCTCCTCTGCGATTAATACAAGCTCTTTCTGTTGCTCATATACTTCCTGCAAAAGCGAAATAACAAATCTTTTCAAAAACCTCTTCACGTAAAAACGAAGAAGAAATATATGGAGAAGGAGGGTTGTAGGATCTGTAGTATGAAAATAAAAACCTTTCTCTGAGCGCCAGCAAGATCGTTCTTGTGCATTCTCTCATAAGAGGCAATAATAACGTCTTTTAATGGCACTGGAGTTTCCTCAACCTTCCCAGCTAAGAGCATGCAGACTGTTGCAATCGTCTGGAGAGCAAATGTAACAGGCAAAGGCATAAGGTTAATCTAGTTGTTCTTACTGCTCAAGAAGAATACATCATCGCAAAACAAGCACAAATTTATTAACCATACACATCTATCCAAACCGGAAGAAACAGAGAGCTTGATCTCTATCACAGACAGTTTTATCTTGAATAAAATCAGTTAGAGACTCATCTGATCAATCAACTAATACGCTTTGATTAGAGCTAGTAAAGAAGATGACACAGAGATGGATATCTATAGAGGAATCTCAAGAAGCCATGATGTTTTAAATCACCAGACAGCTAATAGATTCATAGTTTCACTAAAAACAACAGAGACTAAAAGACATATACTTCCTTAGTAACCATTTTTCACATACAACTAAACTCACCCGACTGTCATTCTTCGCGTGTGATTGACGAACGAAGAATCGGTGACAGAATACTATAGCAGTGGCTATCGTTACCTGAGGACTATGTTGAGAATACCATATCAGCTCACATTCATCAAAGGAACCAAAAACTGAAAAGCTTCATGAACTTGGTAATAAGTATGCCATTAATGGCTTTTAGCTCTTAAGATTCATTTTAATAAACATACTGTATCAAGATACGAGGGTGTACAAATTCCATGCTAAAATAAACTCACTTAGAGTATCAATGCCCCTCACTGACTGCAGTACATCACATTATAGAATTTATAACAGACCAAAGCCTATATGTCATAAGGAGACATGTCCTTAAGATGATGAATTTACAAAATACCAGCACAAGATAGAAACTACGCAGCATAACTAATGCAGGTAGGAGAAAAGAAACTTACACTTTCAATCTTTTACCGAGATTTTCCAAAAATATACAGTAAGAGTGGCGTAGGCGAGTTTCTTTGTTCAAATCAATACCATCTCGCCTTGACGGTGAGTTTTTTTCGATATCTTCTCTTGAAAAAAACCAAGGGATAATCTCATCATCATGGAGATTGCTAGTGACTGACGAAACATCGCTCTCATTGCCAGAAGCATTCCCAGGCAATGCTTCTGCTTCTTCCATTGGTATGTAAAGACTAAAGAGTAATGATCTTAGACTGTTACACAAATTCAGGAAAAAAAAACAGAGTAAATTGTAATGCTTTTAGATTGTTGTAAACCTTAACAAGAAATTAAAGAACAGACATCAACTTTAAAACATCAATGGTTTGATCAGAGACAACAACAACAACAAAAAACTAGTCTGGGCAATGCAGTAACAAAGAGATCTTTCTCTAACCAAAGATAAAGATTGAGAATTTCCATGAAAGAATGATAAAAAAGTTCATGAAACGATGACCCAGAATGAAAATTGCGTAGCAAAATTCACCAAACCCGAGATGAAGAACGACGGAGAAAAGAAAACCTCAAATTCGGATTTAGCAGAAGAAAATATCGATACTTACCTAGAACAGTTGCACTCAACGAGAAAAAGAAACGCGTGAACGAATACCCTTGCGCTAGAACAGTGCGCCAGTGAGTCACCACCGCTGCGCTCGTTTCTCGAAATTTTATTTTGGGGGAAAATTCGAATATTTTGATAATAAGAGGGTTAAAATAAAAAATATCTTATTATAAAAAGCGTATGTGCTTACGTGGCAAACCTATAACCAATTTGATTAAGACACGTGTTAATTCGAAATTAAAATGAAATGTGGACAAAAAGTGAAAAGAAAAATTATAAATAAGCTTCGCCGATGTCGATCTCGTTCATATAAACTAAACAGAGGCGTGTTCTAGGTTTCTGATATTTAAAATTAAACCCAGATTCTCACCGGCGATCGATCTTTGCCACATTGGGTTCGTCAAGATGGTAAACTTTTCTCTCCTTATTCGGGTTTTGATCTGATTCTTGATTAAATTATAGATTTACTTGAGTGGTGGATTCATGAATCTGAATCTTTGCAGAGATGAATGTTTTTCTAATCGTTGATGTATCAAATTTCAGGTGGAGAAATCAGTAAAGAAGTTATCCTCGAAAGACGTTACACCGGTTGACATTATTAGTCAAGCTTTATTATCTTCTAAGTCATTGGCTAGAAATCGAAAAGTCTGTGGCAACAAAGGTAAACATGCAAACGCTTTCTCCATGAATGTTTAAAGATTAAGCAGATGGTATCTGTTATTTTCGGGTAAATACTTACACGATGATGTGATTGATTTTTTCAGGAGTTTTTCCTTGTAGACAGTCTAAAGGTGATCTTGCAGAGGACTTATCTGATATCAGTGATGCTGAGGTAAAATAAATACTGTCTACCTTTAACGCTTAATTGATGCTTATTGTAGTTCCCACACATGTATTGAGGAGGATATAATTTGTTCTTGTGGATGTTTATCTGATTTGAATCCCATTTATGGTTTTAGTATCTGTAAACCACAACAATTGTTCCTGGATTGTGGCGAACCAGCATTTTCTTAACATGTAAGTCGACCACGCATTGGTTTCACTGAATTCCCGACCATATAAGTTTATAACTTAGTCAAAACTATTTTCTTGTGCTTTGTCTTCCGGTTTTTACGTTCTGCTCTATTCTATGATGTTAAATTATATATATATGAAGCTTCTGAGAACAAAACAATTTATGTATTCTTGTTCTCATTTTGATGGTTATTGTTGCTCATCAGGTTGCTGATAATCTAACTAATAAAAAGGAATTCATTCTGAAGAAGAGAGCATGGGAATTGATGAACCCTGAATACCAAAAGGTTTTTGCTCTTAACTTGTCTTCTTTGATCTTTTTAATTTCTGTTTAAGTGAACTTCATGTTGTTCCTCACATGCTTTTGCTCACGTTCTTGTTAATGATTATCAGGGGAATTATAGGAAAGTCACCACTGGGAAAAAGAAGGATCCTGCTAATAAGACTGCTCCTAGTAAGAAAACTTCTGCAACCAGAACTGAAAGCAATGCAGGGAGTGAAAATAAAAAGGTCAGTGATACCCTTACTTCAGCTTCCTCTCTGAAGCAATGTCTAGATATATTGCACTTCTTTCTTGCGGATTTCTTTAGATCTTCCTTATTTTTCATCTGTAGTTCAACTTATTGTCTGACAAATTCGATTCCTTGTCTTATTTCATGCAGAGACCGAGTTTGGAAATCAATTACGATGTCTTGGATAAGCTATTTGATCCTGTAAGTTTACCCCTGACTCCATTTGTAAAATATCTTCTACGCAGAATCCAAAATTTAAGATATATCAGCTTCTTGGTGATAGAATAGACCTCTTGTTTATCTGCCTAGTCTCTTATGTGTATTCACATCTTTGTAGGAGAACTCTCCGAAGAGGGCGAAGCTAGATAAACCAGTTGTTGGTGACCAAACGGAATATTCAAAGCAAAGCAGTGAAGAAAGCCTTTTGAAACCACAGTATTCTAACGAAGAAGAAGCAGAAGAACCAGACTGGAATGAGGATTACAGTAATGAAGATGCGTATAGAGGAAACGAAGAATGCTACGGCGATGAGAATCTTGAATTTGAAGATCAAGATGAAGAAGAAGAAGATAATGAAGGGGTAATTTGGTGATCTCTTCATACATTGTGAAGTGATCTCAACGTCTTACTCAGAAAAAACGAATGTTATTTTTTTCTTCTTCAAAATTTTGACACATAATATATAGTGATCTCTACATGTCTGATTTAGATTCATCACCTTCCTATCTTATATATGAAAGTAACCACATTGATCTGCTGATTCACATGGTTCATAAACCGTGACTGGCTCTATTGCTTTTATCATCTACAAATACATTCTTCTCTTCGCAAACACTCTCTTTGGTACAAAAATCTGAGAAAGTGAGGCAGCAAGACAAAACTTTGGTCATATATAAGTGTTTGTTCTATGATGGGCTAGAATGAGGAACATTTAGCTTCATCTGAATCTCATTATCTGGATTGTCTCTTAGCTCCTTGAGTCCTTTCACCACGTTTAGAGCTAGATCTTCATAAGCTTTTGACACTATAGAACCCGGCGAAGAAACAACCACAGGAACACCTTCATCAGAACCTTCTCTGATCGACATTTCCAGTGGAATCTATATAGAAACCAAATAGTATTTAATGTACGGCCACAGAGAGAACCAACGAGGGTCTTAAAAGCATTGATTATTTACCTCACCGATAAGTTTCAAACCCTTCTTTGCAGCAGTGCGGCGTGCTCCTTCTTTCCCAAAGATGAAAGAAGGTTCATTACAGTGAGGACAAACGAAGCAACTCATGTTCTCCACAAGTCCCAAGATCTAGCAGAAAATTGCAGAAAGGTTAAGCAGCTAGAACGAGATATATATATATATGTTTCCAAGCAGGCAAAGATCACAAAGAAGATGGCCGTACAGGTACTCTAACTTTGTCAAACATGGAGATTCCTCGATTAGCATCAGCAAGCGCAACATCTTGTGGAGTTGATACAATAACAGCACCTGGAAACATAAGCACACTCTGATAACTACACAACTTGTCTAACCTAACACAACTCGGATATGCAACAACGAGATCTGTATATACACATACCTGAGAGTTTCAGGTTTTGAGATATGGTAATTTGAGCATCACCGGTTCCAGGAGGCATATCAACAACAAGAATATCAAGATCTCCCCAATCAACTCCTCTTGTCATCTTAGCAAGAGCACTCATTACCTGTAAACAATAACACAAGCTTGAAAACCGAACGAAAGCTTTTTGTGTGCATAAACTCTACAAAGAATCTAAAAAGATGCACACCATAGGACCTCTCCACACAAGTGGTGCATCTTTTTCAACAAGGAGTCCCATTGACATGCATCTAACTCCATAGTTCTCAACTGGAATCATCTTCATATCTTCAAAAACAGAGATTACAGAGATACTTTAAAAATGATGCAAATGATACTTTAAACGCTAAGCTAAAATGCAAGAGGTATCTATCTATCTATCTACCTTGGTTAACTTGAGGCTTTTGATTGATATTCATCATGATAGGAACAGATGGTCCATATACATCCGCATCAAGCAATCCAATCTTCAGTTCACATTTAGTGGCCAATGCAACAGCTAAGTTTACTACATGATCAAACCCAAAATTCACAAATTTCTCACATTATCAGTTTCAATCTCAAGACCAATGTTTAGGAGAGACATAAAATTGAGGAGATTCCAATGATGTACCAGCTGTCGAAGACTTTCCAACTCCGCCTTTACCAGACGCAACGGCGATGATGTCCTTGACTCCATGTAACCGGAGCTCCGTCGCCCTCCTGCCGGCGCTAGCAGAACTCTGCGAAAAAAGAAAAAGGCAAGATAAAACTCTGATCTCAAGCTAATTAGATACCCGCGAAAGGAATAAGATTAGCGGATCATTTCTTACGAATTTATATGCAGAGATGGGAGCTGCGTGGAATTCACGGCGGCGGAGAGACCGAAGAAGCGCGACGGTGGCCATAGGGAGAGATAAAAGGAGAGAGAGTGAAAGTGGAGACGAGGGCAATTTAGGAAATGCGATAAACTTAAGCTAAATCCCTGAAACAAGAAGAAAAAGCAGAGATTGCAACAGACTCGAGCAAAAGATGGAGGATCAAATCTCAGTTATCAGGCTCGACGACGATGGCTTGTATCTCTAGGAGAGGTTGAAAACAGAGGTGGGTTTTCTCGTAAATTACAGCAATGGACATGGGCAAAACCGTCAAGTAAGAACTTCCCAGCGTCTGTAACTGGATTGGTCTTGCCGATCCCACACGGTGACTCTTAACATCACAGTAAAGTTGTCAACTTTGAGTAAGATACTTTCTAGCAATTCGTGCTTGTACATAAAGATTGTAGACACGAAGGGTTTAATAAAGAGAGAGCCTTTTATGGCTTTGATGAAAATTGCTATGTGCTGAATGAAATCAGTGGATGATTTTCATTGTCGAGTGAAAAAAACATACTATATGGTTTTCTTTAAGAAACCGAGTTTTTTTTTTCATTGATTTGTCTAAAACTGATAAAAGACAACGATTGACGATGGTGATCTAATTGCTTTTGATTCACATGATAATCTGAGATAAAGAACAAAACTAACCGGAAATGCACTTAAGGTTTGTAATCGTTTTAAAAAAAAAAACAGTGGTGATTTCAAACTAAACCCATTTTTTTGGGGTAAATCATTCGTCTTATTCCTTCTAACCTTGCATAGTACAGAAAAAGCATTAACATGTAGTTTTCGTGGGATACAAGTTGCCATTTGACCATTTCCAACTCTTTTTTGGTTTGATCTTTCCAAATTTACATAATCCACGTACGGAGAGACTTCTTGATGTCTCCTCGTTAGTACCCACCCCAAGTATTCAAAAAAACAATACTGATTTATATAGTTAGACCCCACAATTTAGCTGTAATTTTATATAAAGATGTGAATTTTCAAATACCAAAAATTACAATTCAGTTTTATAGTTTACTATATTCTTTACAGAGATGGAAGTGGAAACCACGAAGCTTTACACGGAGAAGTCATTTACTCATAGTTGAAAATAAATTATCTAACCAAAGTAATTATTTAATTCTGTTTTGCCAGCCAAAACCTATGAATTAGTCATACAGGATACAACTTACTCCAAAAATAATACAACAGTACTTAAGCTCAATCAACTTTGAAGCTTGACTTGACTTGTTAGTATATGAGACCATTGATTTTTTTTTAACATTTTATAAGTTTTTTTTAGAGAAATTTAACTAATGTGCCATTTACTATTTAAAATCTTAGCAAAAATGCCACAAAACATAAATCTTTCCAAATGTGCCATAATGGTAGACAACATTTCTTGTCTACCCAAATTTTTGTATGTCGTTTCGAATTTTTGTTCACCAAAAATCTGTTGTTTCAAAGGTGGGCAAGATTTTTTGTCCACCAAATATCTTCTCAATCTGTTTTTTCAAAGGTGGACAACATTTCTTGTCTACCAAAAATTTTCGGTTCAAAGTATTGTCCACCATTATGGCACATTTGGAAAGACAAATGTTTTGTGGCAATTTCTGTAAGTTTTGGTACAGTAAATGACACATTACACCAGAATCCCTTTTTTTTAATAATACATAAATCCCGCAAATAACGATTTAAAAGTGAGATCAATCTTTGATAATTCTATCAACTTCTAACAATAAGCTAGAACTCTTTTTTTTTCACCATGTTGTAATCATTTTCAACCAAATGAACTACCCGCAAAGAATTGATTTCAAATTTTTGACTCCATGTACTGTATGTATAACAAATGGTAAATGTTTAAATTATAATAACAAAACGATATTCATAGAACAAATTAATTCTAAATAATAAATCACTGTTTAAATTTTCATGTGATCATCTGACTTTTTGATACACAAATTCCTTTACTCGGTACTTTCATATTAATATAGCAGCAACAACATTCCCTTATAAATCCATGAAACTCTCTTCTTAGCTTCTTCATTCCCTCCACATCTCCTTCTCACATCTCCTTCTCTTTCGCTTGCCGGTTTTTATAGGTTTAACATCTGTTTAGTTAATCTCTAAGATTTTACGCGATGATCATTGTGTATTTCTCGCTACCATTGTTCATTTTCATGGTGTTCATAGCCATTGGTGGTTGTTTAGGATGCTACTACTTGGGTCAAAATCAAGGGATAGCTAAAGCTGGCGGTGGCCCGACAATGCCAACTGCTTACCCGACCGCACCACAAGCCAATCAAGGTTACAATGCTGGAGCTCAACCTTACCCTCCTACGGCGTATGCTGTCTAATCATTCTGTTTATTCCATGTGCAATTAAAGAATTATTACAAACGGAAATTGTCGTTCTTTTCTTGTCTTTTCTTGTGCTGTATGTTGTTTGATTTACATTTTGATGATTACTTCAGTTTGTATCGTTAAAGTTTAATTTGCAATCATTTTTTTTTCTTTGTCAACGTCTTATATCCGACAACCACCTTATCAAGAATATTGCACTAAAAGTATCGTTTAATGTTATGATTTTGACATTTTGTAGAATGACGGACGATTGCACAGTTATTTGCCAATAATACAATTATGCGAAATCGTGATTTTGATATTGTTCTGAAAATTGGATTAGACTAGATAAATAATCAAACTATCTCATTCACCAAAAAAAATAATCAAACTATCTCTGTAAACTCATTCCACATCCTAGTTATATAAACAAGAAAAACAAAAACAAAAAAACAAATCATATAATTGAATCATGAAGGTTTAATTAGGAGCTTTTAACTTGGTTTTCAGATTATCAATTTCTTTCATCATCCATGTTTGGATTTCGGAAAGCATAAGTCAATGAAGTTCCTAGAAGCTTTTTTATTGGAACTTGCGTTCACAAAACTGATCAAAGATATATATACGAGGAGTTTTCCCCTAACAAACCAAAAACAAAGATGAAATTTTGGTAATAGTTCATAACATAGTATCACAACAAGGCCAAAGACGCCAAACACATCAAATCATCTATAAAGCACAGGTTTATTTTCATACAGAACACATCATTTAGCCCATAAATCTCCCTATCACCCAAGAAATTTGATCTCTCCTGGAACTTCCTCCATCAACTTTCTTCATATTGCCCTTCAACTTCAATCTCCAGAGCACTAGTTTGAAAAACACCTTATCAAACCATGGAGAATTTTGGACCAGTTGTTCCACCAAAATCTAGCAACTGAGCAATATACACGTGATGTCAAAGGAGAAACAGAGAGTACAGACCATGATCCCTTTTTTGTCTTTGGAAGTGAGATAGTGACGATTTCATCAATCAGCTTCAAATGGCAACGAACCAGTCACATTCAAGGATAAGCTCAAAGTCAAGCTGCAGCCAAATTAAGTTGATAGAAGTCACCATCGACACACCAAAGGGTCCGAAAAGCAATGCAACATCTTTAAGTTCCTATGTCAATGTAAATTGTGTTTTAATATATGAAAGCTACTAAGAGAAGTTCAAAAACAATAAAGTACAATAAGCATTCTACCTTTCGTTTTCTTTTCAAGACCCGGAACCTCCTATCATGTAGGAAACACTCATATCCAGGATTTCATCTCTTACTTTGCCATTTCTTCTTTCTTCAATCCGTGAGTGGGACTGACCTCGAATGGTCACAAGAAGCTCACTAGATGTACGCTCAACAGTGTCTGTAACCCGTATTCCCTGGAAACTACGGTCATTTTCATCTGGAGCATATAACAAACTCATACCACACCTTATCACCTTGCAGCATTCTAGTTTCCTTTCAGTTTCATCGGTAAGATAGAATTCGAATGAGGCACTAGTGGGATGACATCTAGTACCCTCATTACTCTTTTCCCTCCATTCGAAGACTGGCACATTACAGTTGTTATAACTGATAAACACATGGTCAGATCCAAGTTTCCGTGGTTCATGGCAAGATGATCCACATGACTCGTTCCATCCACCAAGACAGAAACTAAAGCTGATAGACTGGCCGTTTTGATTTTTGAATTTGCACTTGCATCTTACAGATAAACGGTTGGCATGATGACCTTCATTATCACTGAAGGTGACAACAACAGCGAGGGACGCTCCAATAAATTTTTTGTTACACCAGTGTGGAAGCAGGTCGGTTTCTATCAAAGATCCCATCCTCTGATGGCTGAACCATGAGGGTATCTCACTTCCTGGAAAACAAACAGCAACCAGAGGTTCTAGAACTAGTCCCTGCAATGGGTTACAAAGAAAACCATTTAAGAAATTAGCTACGATCGAAGTATCACCATAACATTAGAGTGAAAGTGAGATGGACCTTATTGTTATGCTGGAGAGATGTCCTTGCCAGTAACTGACTCTTGAGTTGGGCCTGAGCTACAATAGCTTCCTGCTCAGCTCGGTTTAGCTTGAAGCAATTCGTGAAAATGAATGTAGTATGCATCCTATCAGTTACTAGGGGAAGTGTCACTGGTTCTGCGACTTTTTCCAGAGAAACACACCCGTGAGCATCTACATAGTGTAGACTAGATGGAAGCACTGGAAGAGAGTTGAGCCTGCGACAATGTTTCAGGTCAAGCAACAACAGGCAATGAAGTTTCTTAATGCTTTCAGGTAGGGTCTCAATATTGTTTCTGCTTAAGCATAGACACCGTAGAGAGTGTAGGGAGATAAAGTTGTCTGGCAATTTGTAGATATTGCAGTTCGTGAGATAGAGGTCTGATAAGCAAAAGCTGCCTGAGAAAGGTAACAATACCAACCCTGTGGAATCTTCGATGCTAGATCCACAAAACGAAAACATCTTGAGGTTACTCAAACAAATCGTTTCAGGTGTCTGTTTGATGGACGTTCCATCCATAAGCAAAATCTCTAAGCATTCCATCTCCTCTTTGATTGGTGGAAGACTCTCCAACGCTGAACAGCCAGAGAGAATCAGTTCTTGAAGAGATTTCAGCTTGTAAAGATCGTTGGGAAGATACTTTAACCTGCGACAATTCTTGAGATTCAGCAATATAAGGTTGCGAAGACTCTCGATGTGTTCAACAACTTGTTCAATTGCTGAGCCTTCCAAATAAAGAGATTCAATATTGTCTGATATAATTTGAAACTCTTGAAGGTTTGAGCAGCCACTGAGGATCAGAGTCTTCAGAGATTTTAAATTGATTCCCTCTGGAAGACTCTCAAGGCTTGTGCAGTCTCTGAGGTTCAGGTAAATAAGTTTGTTCATCTTTTCGATTGATGAGCCCAACAGAACCAAACTCGTACAGCCTTCGAGGTCCAATCTTTCAAGATTTTTAGCCTTGGACAAACCTGATAAACTCCGCAAGTCTTTTGACTGACTGAGGTCGACCCATCTTAAATTTTCCGTTTTCTGTGGCACCTAAACAATGATTATAAAACCAATCAGCAGAAAGAAGCTAAAGAATACTCTTTTTAGATAAGAAAATTTATATACAGCCGAGGATGCACCTTATCATCTTCCCACAGTTGTTTGATGTAGCTATAGCGTAGACTAAGATCAACAAGTTCCTCTGGATTGAATTCTGATGGTAGATATTCGTAAGGGTACCCCTGCCAATGAAGGTACACAAGCTCATCCGGAAAATGATCAAGCTCTTTAGAGAATTGAATTTTATGGTCGTTATCACACCACTGGGAACAATGAGAATTGTGGAACTTCAGGAATTTGAGATTCGACATCCTCATGAAAACGTCAGGACTTAGCTTGATCCTTTCGACATTAGACATGTTAAAGAAGATGCCTCTAACACATTCAGTTCCCTAGTAGAAAGATCAAAAAATTGAGGAACAATTAACAAACCACAATACTAAAGAACGACACCAAGTGAAGATATGATGTACTACAGAAAATCAATGGAGAATTAATGAAGCAAGTAACTCACCGTTTTCTGCTCCAGCACATTGCGAATATCTTTGTGGTTCCACAACCTGCTACGTTTGCCTGCCCTTTTGATGGATGATTCATATCCAATTTCCTTCCCCATTGCATGCATTAGATCATGCATCTCAAGACGATTATAAGATTTGGTTACCAAGCACTTATCTTCAAGTTCTCTCATAACATGGTCTGATTTCAAGATGCTCGAAACCAAATCTGCTTTTTCTGATCTGAAAAAACATGCTATGTCAAGAAATATGCTTTTCTGTTCATCATCCAGTGCTTCATAACTCATTTTTAGCACTTTCTGAATCTCCTTGTCTGGCATTACCATTAATCTCTCCCATTTTTCCACCCAGTATGTTCTTTCCTTCTGACGTAGACCTGAACCTAACAACTTCAAGGCTAAAGGGTGCCCTTTCGCATAATAAACAAAATTGTTTGATAGATCCAGAAATTCTTCTGTTGGGTAGAGTTTGTCAGAAAATGCATCTAGGCAGAAAAGCTCCATAGCTTCCCTGTCATTTAGTCTGGGAACAACGTATATTGCATCCGCATTGTTCTGCAGCAGTTTCTTGTCTCTAGTTGTTATAACAATCCTGCTTCCTTTCCGGTACATCTCCTGCTCTCCGATGAGAACTTCTATCTGATTTTCTTCGGTCACATTGTCCAGCACAATAAACAACTTCTTGTTCCGAAGAAAGTCTTTTAATCTTCCATGTGCTCTGATATCCACATTTTCTTCATCCAATAATTTACAGAGGAGTTTTTGATGCAAATGATGCAATCCATGCCGCTTTGACTCATTTTCAATGTCTTCAAGGAAACAATATCCATCAAACTGACGGTAATTTCGTTTATAAACACTATCAGCAACAGTCGTCTTGCCAATTCCAGTCATCCCGAGAACCCCAATGGTACGGATACAATTTTTGTTATCAAACATCAATAACTCCTCCAGTTCCTTTGAACGTGATTCGATCCCCGGGAAACCACTGAGTTCACATGGAGACAAATCATTCAGCATCCTGAATGTTTCCTTGGCTATTTTTTCAACAAATTCACTCTCTGGCCTGCACACAAAAGTTCATCCAAATTAGAATTTTACAGCACGGACTTTAAGGAAACTGAACAAGTGGTAGCTGCAAACAAAACAGACCAGTGGAAGACTTCTTGTTCATTTTCTATTGTAGAATGTAGAAGACGTCAATTCATCATAAGAACAATAAAGAAAGTCAACGTTGGTTTTACTAGTACATACCTTTCTTCAGGAAGTACATAGCCCAGGATATTGGAAGCAATCTTCAGAGCTTCCTTCCATGCCCCAACTTTTTGCCCATCTCCCTTGAAACTCTCCTTAGGGCTCAGGAAGGGAACTCCAAAAGTCCCTTTCTGATTCTCCACATCAGATTTCCTGACTTTGTAGAAGACAGGTAAGACCCCATGGCCAAACTTCTCCCTGCACTGTATTATCTTCCAGAGCTCCTCCAAGCACCAGGTGGAGTTGGCGTAGTTCTCTGAGAAGACGACGATCGACATTTTCGATTGCTCGATCCTGTCAAAGACAACAGAGATGTCCTTGCCTCGCCGGAGTTTCCCATCGAAGAAAGTATCAATACCTTTCCGCTGCAGGAACTGAACAAGATAAGAGGTGAAGGAATTACGCGTGTCCGCACCTCTGAAACTCACAAACACGTCAAACTGGCGCTTACAGGGATCCAACGACAATGAAGAAGAAGGAGAAGCCATTAAAAGATGGCAGCGATGATGCAGCTGTTTGGAAAGTGTTCCCTCCTTTGGAAGTGAAATGGAAGAGACGAAGACTTTGAGGCGTTGAACAACGAGTCTTCCCACGAAGAATCTTTTGCAATATCCACCTTTAGCACCCCTCTGTTGACTTTTCAAACTATCTCATTTAGATAGTAACTTTAGCAATTGGAACCATTTGCTGTATTGTTTATCCGATGAACGCAGAGGTATATTAAACTTTTTCTTTTCGAGTTTCTCTTCATTTCATTCGCACAACAACGGACACATTCGAGAAAACCCACATCAAAAAGAAAGTCTGTGTAAGAAAATTCGTGCTCTGCAGAGCTGATCACCGTTCGTAGAAATGCTTAAGAGATATGCGAATGCGAATTTTGAGTGACCTGTCAACAAGGATCACGGGCATGTAAGCAGCAAGGTAATATAGGTGAGTAGTCAAACATATAAGCAACAGTTTGTCATTGCAATCCACAAAGACGATTCTCAGACCAATATTATTTACAGTGGAACATTACAAACAATAAGAAGCCACACATGTATCATTTACAAAGCTTTGGAGACCCAGTAGCCTTATTTATGGGATAAAATGTCCTTACATAGGACACAACATGGAAGAAATAATCTACACATTAACATAAACAGTGAATTTCCTAAGCTATAACAGAGATTCCTATCTGAGGCATATTCAAACACCGTAATGTTTATACCAGGTGTCCGAGCCCTTGCAAGTGAAGTTATCTGAATCTGACAAGTGTTCAGATGTGATGAACTTCTAATCTGAAACATAGATCACATATTTAGCCACATAAAAGGTCAATACTAACACTAAGCAATATCTTTATCACAAAATCAAGTTGGTGACTTCAACAGAATGCCTCTAATTTGCCTTATAATCAAATAAGAAAGCTAAGAGGTGATACATATCATTTAGTATGGACCAACACACTATCAAATAAAGTGCAACTAACCAGAAGTTGAATACCAGATTAAACCATGCGGCGGCTAATGATATATACTGATCCGAGGGTATAAAAGGGTTTCCAGATTTAAATATATAAGCACACACATATCTTCAAGTCCCCAGAACTATTTGGCATGTCCTTGTGTTGAAATTTTCCAAAACCTGCACAACACAGTGAACAATTTTAAAGGACAGCATTGGAAACTACTGTTCGTATCTATGTAGTCCAACATCTTGAGCAATATTAAGCCACTGCCGTAATAGAATGGAGTGCAAGTATTTACTTCAGCATCGACATAATATATTAGCATGGACTGCAACTATACTGGAAAAATCTAAAGACTGCAAATAAAATGAAAAGAAATCTAAAGATAGCAGAGTGAGAACATGCGTATATCAGGTTTCACATCTGAGGGATGTAAGAGAGAAACAATCTCGCAACTATAGAAACTAAGAGTAGCATTAACAAACTGAGCCACCAATTATTTCAGAACACAGAATAATTACAAAATAACAAGATAAATTCGAAAATATAAGACGACTAACCTGTACACCATGGTGTTGAATAGAACCGGGCTTGAGAGGTGGGTTTTCTGCGTTTTTTTTTATGTTATCCTTATTATTTCCAGCTGAAGACTGAAACCTTAAATGAAAAGTCTAAGTGTATGTCACCAGCGGTTGGCAGAGTCGAATTGATGGATGTAAAACCGCAGTTGAAGATCATGGTACAAGCACTCTCTGATTAAGAGTCCGAAATCAAATTCTCCCATGGTTCTCTTTGTCAAACTAAGATGATACCACGATCTAATGCCTTGAGTTTTGGAAAGCTCTGAAGACTTGTGCAGCCAGACAGCTTAAGCTCAACAATAGATTTCAGGCTACTTATTCCCATTGGCAGTTTCTGAAGCCTTCTGCAGTTCTCCAGATCTAGCGTAACAAGTTCAGTGAGATTCTCGATTGACAATGGAATTTCTCTAATTGCAGTCCCAGCTAGATATAACTCTTCCAGGTTTGGTGCAAAATCCTGGATCTCATCAAGCTCTGAGCAGCCAGAAAAATTAAGGCGCTTGAGAGATGTTAAATTGACCATGGACGGCAGAGTTTGCAAACGGGAACAGTCTTTCATATTCAAGGAAACAAGCTTCCCAAGATGGCGAATAGATGTGCTAACATCAATCAGACTTGTACACCCTTCGAGATCAATATGTTCAAGGTTCAGGGCTTCTGATAACATCAGGATATCAGTTAACTTTCTGGAGTGACTCAATTTGATATTCTTTAGCTTCTCAAGATTCTGTTTACAAAATGAATAACCAAACATGAATAATCAAGATGAGTCATCAGATGCAAGCTTATAAATTCATGTAAGCAGCTTAAAACACCATAGTGTCAACACTTACTTTCTTTCCTTCCCATAACTTCTCCATGTTGCTATAAGGCATGTGTATCTCTACAAGGTTCTCAGGATTAAATTTATGAGGCAAGTATTCCAGAGGGTAGTTCTCCCAGTGAAGTAGCCTTAGTTCATCAGGCAAAGTGTCGAGGCCTTGAGGTAGATTTAGCTTACACTCATTCTCAGAGGTGGAACAATAGAACTTCAGCAATCTAAGATTATACATCTTACCAAACACAGTAGGACTCAACTCACAGGTCAAGTCAGACGCATCCAGGAAGATGCCCTCAATGGCTTCAGTTCCCTGACAAAGACAATCACATAAGTACGGTAACATCAGCATTTTACAGCTAAAGAAAGAATAATTATGAAATTACCTGGGGTGATAAAAAAAACTAAACATTTGTCAACTTACTGAATTGTTTCTCAAAACATCAGCGATGTCATTAGAGTCCCACAATCTGCTACGTTCGCAAGGATCCTCGTCTTCTTCATGAACAATAAATCGACCAATGTCTTGAAAAGGAATAGGGATCTCTATCCTATTGTCCAAAAGGCTAATGAGAGACTCGTCAATGAGATCACAGATTCCCAAATATGTAAAAAACCCACAAGCATCAAGTAATTTCACCACATGATCTATGTCCTCCCCACTGAAAAAACACGCGAGGTCCAAAAATATGTTCTTTTCGTTTTCATCTAGGCCATCAAAGCATCTCCGAAATGCTTCCTGAATCTGAGTTGGAGGATTTTTCCGCAAGCTATGGAGATGTTCCTTCAAATTGTTTATGTGCTGCTTTGATAAAGAGAAACCCAAAACTTTGAGAGCCAATGGAATGCCACTACTGCAGCTCATCAGCTCCAAGATGACCCCACTTTCTTCATTTAAATATTGTTTGCAGAGACGTAACGATTCAAACTCGCATAACTTTTGGATCTTGTATGACTCTGTAACCTTACACTGTACAAGAACTTGTTTTCTCCTAGAAGTTAAGATGATTCTGTGTCCCTGAGAAAACCAGCCAAACCCTCCAACTACAGCTTCTGCATCTCTGGCATCGCTCACGTCATCGAGAACAAGAAGAATCGTTTTCTTGTGGAACCAATCCCTCATGAAACTCGGTTTTATATCATAAGCACTTATACTTAGTTTTTCTTCCCTGAATACTTTAGAGAAGAAATCATCACGCATTTGTCTCAGCCCTTTCTTTTGACTCATAAGATAAAAGTCTTGCAGAAAGTAACAAAAATCATATTTCGGAGCTAATATTCCAAAAATTTCTCTGGCAATGGATGTCTTACCTATTCCAGCCATACCCCAGAGTCCCACAATTTCCACGCCTGAAGGCTGGGAGTGATTTAAAAATGCTAAGATGCTAATCAGATTCTTGCTGTTTTTCGAATATAGGTTTAAGCATGCGTCTCTTACAACTTCCTCGGCAAGCAAAACCTGCTTCCTGCGAACAGAACACAGAAAAAATGTACCGAATTAACACCATACAGATGAGAAACACTCCTCCGAATATTAGAAAATGTTAATAAGCACTTTGGATGTTTCCTAGAAAAGTTTCAAGAGGAACAGATGCCACATTGTACAAACACAAAAAGGATAACTTTTTTTTGGGCCAAAACATAAAAAGGATAACTGAGAGATGTAGATTTACTCTTTTTCCCATTCATGTCCATCGATGGACGCTATTTCAGCCATAGCCGCTTTCCATTTCTGAACTCTGCTTAGCTGGGCAGAATCCATATACTGCAGATAAATTGGTTCAAACCTGCCTTCCAACCCACAAATGTCTGAAAGTGTTGCCTTAAAATATATAGGAATAATTACAAGGTTTCTTGCTTTCCCATGCTCCATGATTTCCACCAGATGATCAAGAGCCTGTCTAGAACAAGCATAACTATGTGAAAGTATCATAATACCAACACTAGATCTGTATAGCATCTTTTCATCCAGGTTCTCTCTGCTCAGTAGATTATACATCAACGGGGTGACCTCTCGCTTGTGTAACTCTTTTGAAATGGCTTCGATAAAAGATGTCTCGTCTACATCATGGTTTTCATTGCACGAGAAGACTAATATGCATTCTTTTTCTCTAGTCATCTCACTTGCTGACTTTAGGTATGATGTCACAGCTAGGCTGCGAAAAGGATTGTCCATTGGTCTGATGCCATGCGCCTCACACATGGCCTTGAGGTAACCAGCGAGAGCCTCGACAGCCTCCATGCCAGAAGTCTGCCGCATGCGAAGAAAATCAATGACGTCTTTGGCGCATGAGATAGTCAACGGAGCCAAGCGGTTGTTCAGAAACTCACGGAAGGAGTCCCAGTCATTGTTTAGAGCTGTTGTTGTGATTTTGCTTGCAAGGATTGTCATGTCGTTTCCTGAATCCGAATCCCATGAATTTGAACTCGCGGAAGGAGCCCCAGTCCATAATTCTGAAAGCGTCTCGTCACTGTATACTTCTTCCATAGAAGAAAGAAGCTCCCCATCCAATTGCTCACTACCGCCTTCTTCATCTGATTCGTCACTCCTCATGGGCCGAGACAGCACTAGTAAAGGTCTGTGCTGTTTAAGCTCTTTCCGTATAGTAATGGGATCCACTGTCCCAGTGACGATAATATCCTCAGAATCATCCACGATTACAGAAGAGACACCTAAACAAGGAAACAATACAAGAAAGGCAAATCAGAATTATGAATTGAGTTACCCTGGTATTGTACAGATTAGAAATTTCAAAATATCCAGGAGGCAAGGAATTACTTATGACCAATTAAACCATTCTACTCTTGAATAACTAAAAGCTCATTGCACCAGTAAAGTTGAGGAACAAGCAAGCAAACACAGCAATTTGTCTTTTAAAAACAAAGAAACGCCTATGCCAGAATGGCCCCATCATCCAAGCATTCCATAGAACCAGAAAGGGAACTAGACTAGATCAGAAACATAATTTATCTATCGAGAATCAGTGATCAAGTAAAAAGTTACCTGGGAGCTTGAAAATCTTACGAAGGACCTCATATTTTTCATTGGCATCAACAGACCGTAGATTCAACAATCTCACAACAATATCCTGCAAATATCAGATGTCAAAATATACCACAATATCAAGGTATAGCGAAGCAATGAAATGAAATATGTGAACGAACCTGCTTGATCCTATCAACCAAGTCGGTCTTACTCGACAAGGACGAACCCCTTGCCCAACTCTTTCTCACACTCGTCGATGCATCAATCGAGTCGGTCTTTTTCAGCTCAGTAGTGTCCGGATCCATTAAATCAACAGTAACACCACCATGACACGCTTCACTCCGAACCTTATGCTTATCAAGCTCAAAATCTCGCGTCTTGCAAGCCTCCCACGAATCAAAAGAAATACTCAAATCTTCGGGACCAGAAACCCCAAGGGACTTGAAAATCCGATCCATTTCTCCCTCCTCTCTTCCGATAACAAGTGAGCAACTTCTAGAAGAAAACTCTGCGTCATAGTCAATATTCTTCGCCTCGTCTCGTCTCTCTAGTCTCCGTACAGAAGTCATATCTCTTCTCCGACCATCCGTCGATTTCTCCATACGAGCCATAATTTTATCCATGTGGTCAATTTTTTACTAGAAATTTTGTTTCTCCTGTTACTTAAAAATCAAAAAACGATCGAGGTTATTAAAAACAAGAGATGCAAATGGACACCTATCAGCCAAAACATTTCACACCACTCCAGGACAAAATCAGTGATTAATCGTTGGTGAAGATGTATATTATTAAGTGGTAGAATATTCGCATATTCTTGAAGAGGTCACGTCTTCAGTTCTTAATTTCAGTTTCAAATTTTGGCAAAACATTTTTTTAATAAAACGGCGTTTCACGATTGTTCTTCCATATGGGATCATAGTCAGCTTTCTTAAAAAGAAAAGAATGAAAATGGTGTAACATTCCATATTTCGAATTCTTCTTAGGTATATTATGAAATGTTAGTCAAACAACCGAATATGTCGTAGAGTTATGTTGTGAAATATTAAGAAAACAATCCTTGTGGAGGGTAATGCTCCAAAGAAAACAATCCAACCGGCGATCCTTCAAATCATACAACAATATCCTCTCATTTCGAGTCCAATTTCTAATTCTTGTAAGGTATGTTGTGAAATGTTAATCAAATTAACCAAAGGTTTTTAATAGACAAACTCTGTAAACATTGTGTATACCGTCTCCACAATAGTACATAATCTAACAGATTAAACGTCCACTTAATTAATACTGCATACACCATAAATTGCGTACACGTACAAAAAAAAAAATTTAATAAAGACATGATTGTAATTTTGCAGTCATCTTCAACTTGAGTATCTTTTCTGTAACCATATTTTTTGCTTTTGCTCGCCAACGATATTCAAGACCTACAAATTAGAGATTCGATATTTGTCTCCAATTTCGCCTTCAATTTCGCCTCACCAAATATACTCTTTTACCGGGATTTGGGTCGGGTAGACGAAAATCCGAGATTCTGAGATACAAAATTCCTCTTCTTGGCGGACTTCTCAACTCTGAAATCTTATTCTCCGGAAATTTTGGTTGATTTTTGCTCGTCGCCGGAGATATAAAATCAGTTGCTACTCAACTTAAAAACTCTCAAACAAAGATTTTTTTTTTGTCAACTACTCTCAAATGAAGATGAATGGGAGGTTTTTCAGATCTTTCTTACCACATAATTTTCAGAAATTTTTTGTGAAAAAGTTGAGATTTATGATTTTTTTCTCTTTCTTATTCTGTTTTTTCTCCATAACTTTTTTTTTTAATCAGTTATAATAAGACAAACTATAAAAGAAAAAACGTAACTGAACTGGTAAAAAAAAATGAAACTGAACAGAACAACTGTGTATAAGCACATTTTGATCTGATTTAGTCCAATTAGCTATTTTATGAGAAGCCCACATGACTTTGCCAAATGATGAGAGAAAACTCATTTTCACACAAATGTGAAATCCCTCGTATAACAGACTTGAAATCCTCATTTACTAAAAATAAAAATAAAAATAAAATTGAATATAATAATGCTAAGAAGTAGTAGGCATACTAAAGATTTTCTCCCTCTGAGAAGAATATATACTTCTAAATCTACTGCTTACCTCTTTCAAAAACTTCCCTATCCAATCACTCGTAGCTCTTACATTTCACAAAAGAAAAATAAGGAAAAAAAAAAAAAAAGAGAAGCAACAAGTGATGTAAATGAGAAAATCCAAACTAAAAAAAAGAAGAGAAAGTTACTTTTATAGAGATACGATTTGCTTCGGAACTTTTGGTACAACCATAGTTTGATATAATGTTCATTCGAGCCAAGAACTGTAATATGCCTGCAATTTGAAGGTCCAACCATCAGAATTCTCTTTAAATTTTTACAGTAGCTGAACATGTTGTTATTGCTTTTCAAGATGCTACATGGTCCGCTTTCCGCAAATGAGATGTAACCCGATGAGACCAATTACAATTCATATATTTGTATTTGATCAGTAAATGCCTTAATGGTGGCAGAGAGAAAGAATTTGCTACCTGTAAGTTAATCTACAGGGCGGAGTAGTCCATCCTCATACCCAAACTCTGAATTTTGACTTTATAAAAGGATGTGAGAAGAAACAAATTGCTGTACAATGAAGACTTCATCACTCAGCTTCGCCTGCTTCTTCTTCTTTAAAGTGTTGTTCAAAGTATTCATCTAGTTGTCCCCAGTTTGGGATGCCTGATTGATTGGCATTGTCGGATGGTAACGACCGGATACATTTGAGGATTAGCTCAACATGAAGCTTCAGCCTGTTTAAGACGAGACAAATGTTTATTACAAAAGCTAAGTTGGCTCTTTTTTTTTTAAAGGATATAGAGTTACCTTTTCTTTGCCTCTGGAGAGCTTATCTCCAAGTTTGTAAGCGTTTGAGAGGTTTGTGTGTGGATAACTGAAATCACTTGCCTACAAGAATCATAAAAATGTATATAAATTAGGTAACCTAAGTGACTTCAGAACCCGAAAAACAATTCCTGCCTTTTAAAATTTACAAGAAAACAACAATAATTTGTTGTGCTATACCAGAAAGCTAAAGACGAGTACTGTCCTACAACTACAATAAGTCGTCATTTCTACTGCAAATAACAAATTCATGCAGCCCAAGATGTCTTTCCTATGAAAGCTGCATATATGCTCACCTGAAGATTGCTTGAACATCGGCTTCATGCAATGTCTCAGACAACACACGGTGAAGGTATCCAACTTCCTGTTAAATTAAATGCACATTAGAACATCTACTATTATCTTTACAAAGATTAGTGAACGAGAATAAATCACCCTTGTGAGTGGCCATGCAAACTCTTTAGTTTGTTTATTGGTGTCTGGAGGTCTGTTCCAGCCCTCAACAACTTTGGGCAAACCATGAAGATGCGCCAATAGTCTTTCTCTCATAATCTGAACCAGTTTTGTGTATATTTCATCTCGATGAATTCTATAATCCTGAGAATTGTCAAGAAATCGAAGTTAATGGAAACGGATATTAAAACCTCAAACAAGAGATGACCACCTGGTGTGAACTTTTTTCCAACTATTTTCTAAACCTTAAGACCTGTAAGAGTAAAGTCACAAAAGCCAGAAGAAACATACCTGAGCAACTTTATCCATCTCTACTGACAACAGAGGCTTTCTCGTCTCAGGTACTTTTGAAAACAGAATTCTTCTGGTTTCTTGGACCACAAAAGAAAAAGAAAAAAAAACAACTGTTATGCAGGAACCCAGCTTACATGGAAAATGAGCTAGGGATTTTATTAAAACAAAAAAGGAGCTAGGGATGATTCAAAAAAACCCAACAACAAAATAACCATCAAACTCATATTTTGGACAAAAAATGAGTAAGCAAATGCTTGGATAGCACAAAGTAAAACACTTCTACAGAGGAGAATCAAATGATGTCAAGACATTAATCCATTCGAACACATTATAACTGCAACAGTTAGAAAAAGAAAAATAGTTATCGCCTACCAGGAATAATAGTGTAAGTGAAGTCAATTACTTGACTTGCAAGCGCCAAGTGTTTCGCCTTTATGGACTTCAAACCAGATACCTATAGCATGAATATGGCCACTCAAAAGGTCAATATTAATGCAGTTTACATCTCTTTTGAGTAAATAGAAATCATATTTCTTTTGTGTCAAAAAATTAAATTCCAAAAGACAAGTACGTAAGGTGATACATCGGGTTAGGATATGGATCACAGGTTATTGGTTAGAAAACTCAATACAGCTAATCAGCAATGAAAAGTACAAATTTTTTTCATGTAAAGCATAGTATACCTGCATAGCACCAGCACCCAGAACAAGTTGACATGTCCGAGTGTTGAAAAATCTCAACACTTCAACAACACGACGAACAATTTCCGAGGACAGAGCTGGCAAAGAATTGTTCATATCAATGTATTCTGACAACATCTTGAGCAATATTAACCCACTGCAGACATAAAAGAAATTGCATCAGTATAACTAAAAATTTCCAGCCTGGATAGCAGCCAAACGTTATGCAATCTAAACCTAGGAAACAGTACATATATATTGAGGGAAGACTGCCCATCTAGGCATGCAAGACAGAGAAAATATAACAATAGTCATCGATCAACAATATTAAAATGCATAACAAGAAAACTAACCAGTTTACCATGTGGTAACCAACTCCTTGATAGAAAAGGTTAGATTTTCCGTGGGCCTTCTGATTACTTTGATTATTCGTAACTGAAGATACACCAGCCTTGCTTCTTTCAAGAGACTCAGGTGAGACTGTGGATTTCACTTGTGCATCACTAACTGCAGGACCTTCACTAGATTCAGATTTTTGATTTCGTAATTCAGTATTTTGATCCCCAGTTCCAGAAGTGAGAGACCCATTGAGAGGGAGCCGATTACTGTGATATGTTTTAAGATCAGCATCATCAACTTTCCCAGAAATCAACTGTTGGGATGCAAAAAGAGAACTGATTATGGATTGGAATTCTTCAGGAACATCTATCTCATCCCATGTTTCTTGATCAAGCACAGCTTTTAGTTTTGTCATCTACAGCAAAACAAATTAGAATAACAACCAGAACTCTTGTTAATGAAAGAAGTTAGATGATAAAAAATAACAGAATGTGGGATGAAGTCAATATAGTTCAACACTACTTGGTTACATAAAGTAAGTTTAACCTTTCTGCTAGAGAAAGTACAGATCAGATGGCTTGGGCTTATTGCTCTTGGTATAACTTTTTGGCCACTTTTCTTTTTTTGAAACTAAACAAAAGTGGAGATGTGCTTGCTGTAAAACTTTTAAACGTATCCATAATTCTATACAGAGACTAACCCGAGCTTCATGCTGGGAATCAACAAAGGCTTTGGCTTGTGATTGCAGCGTCCCACGAATACTAGATCCCAACCTTCCACCAATCTGTTAAATTCAGTACAAATGTCAACCAAGAATAAGCAATGCAATTTCTTATCTCTTTTATGAAGAAAAGTTTAGAACAAATACCTTCTCCGTAGCGGTTATAAATTCTTGGGTCAGATCATAAATGCTCATGAACTCCGGCAATTTCAATTTTGGATGAAGAAGAGAGCGAACTCCTAGTAGCTTTGCCCACCTACCATGAGTAACCTCACAAGCGGCAAAGACAGCTTCAGTGTTTTCTCTCAAGACATCGGCCCTAATATAAATCAGAAAAATGCCTAATTTAGTTCCTAGCATAGAACAAGAGCCTGTGTCACAGACAACTGCGAGAATTTGGAAAATGCATTAAAAAAAAAAAAAAAAGCAACTAAGAAACCTGAAGTTTCTCGACATGTTCATCAAGCTTGATGCGTCACTCAATTTTCCCTGCAATGGAGGGGCCTTTGAGGTAGCCTTACCCAATGGAGAAGACATTAATGATCCACCTTGGAAACCTGTTTCCTGAGCTGTTTCGGCCGCTACAGCACCAACAGCAATTGCAGCTGCAACTGAATCAGCGGCATAATGTCCATCGATATTGCAGAGAATCCATTCAATTGCTTTTTTCACTTCCGAAGCCCGGACTAGATGTGCCTGCATTCACTAAATGAAATGAAATCATATTACATCTTATTCAAACATCTAACTGCTTCGGAGAGTGAAAATTTCCAAACCTCTATTATATGGTAGATGTATCAAAACAAATATAAAAAGGCTGCCAGAGGTTTAACATAAGCAAAATATATATGTATAACTTCCTATAGTGCTTGTTTAAATAACTAAAAGTTCCATAATTGATGCATATATTACCTGAACAATCTTAAATATAGCAGTTAAGAGATTAACAAATGCCTCAGATGACAGAGTCCTCAACTTGCTCGCGAGAGATAAGCCACCACCTGTATATGCACTAGGAATAAGCATAGTTTCTGGAGAGCACCGAAGTAGAATATATTATCCGAAGAGAAGGATAATAAAATTCTATTTAATCCTTAAAAATAAGTTTTCAGCCAACATTCTTCATCAGTTGACCAATTTCCATGTAAATTACTTCCAAGTCGGGTCTCAGATCAAATAAGAGATTAAAAAAGAAAACAAGTAAATGGGAATATCCAGTAATATTGATAAAAGCATTTGCTAAAACGAGAATCCAATACTGTTGGTCCTACGGGGTTGAACTTGATGAGAATGTGTATTAGAGAAATTTTACACTTTTCAAATACAAACTTATGTTCAACTATGTTCTCAAGCACAAACTAAGTCGCATGACAATCTGTATACATAGTAATAACAATTAAAATCTCACCATCAACATCTACAGAGCGCTCCCCATGTGAAAAATCAGATTCGAGCGATCTTGCAACAAGAATGGGAAGCAGCTCAGCTACTGCTTTCTTGATTGCATTTTTCATTTCGGATGTGAGTGTATCACGATACATCCTCAAAACTGAAGGGAACTTTGCCTATGAAAACAGTTCAAAGAACAACACATGAAAAACTGAATTCAGACTAAACACTTAATGAGCACTATAAACCAACAATAAAGACCAGGAATGGCATAAACGAAGAAATTACAACAAGAAAGCATTGTCAACTTCAGTGGTAGCATATGTTAGAAAAATAATCAGGTTCGGTCACTCACCGTTCTTAGCAATCCAATAACTAGAGGAAGAAGCCGATCACATAAGGTAGAGGTATCCTCTTCCTCTAGCTTAACCTGAAAAGGTGTAAGCCCAATATTCAGAGTCATGCTAGTCGTTGTTCCAGTTTTTTTTCTGATAGTCTACCACTTCTCACAGTTTAGGATCTTCTATTCAGTTTTACACCAACAATAGAGCTCCACATAGTACAAAAATAAGCGCCCATATTCATTAAAATATATGCATTTGTATCGGATGAGACTTACTTCTTCACCGGTCTTCCCGTTAGATGAAATGGATCCCCGTATTTTTGCTGCAGATAAAATCAGTACATCTATCTCCCCAGTATCATGTATGGAGATACGCATGAATTCTGATGTGAGAATACTACAAAGAAAAAATCATTGAACCATCAGACACTAGACCATATAAACAAATAAATTAAAATAACAGAGAAAACAGGACTGGTAGATAACTACATATAGAGAGTGAACTTATATTATACTAAATCTTCACGGGACAGCACTACCAAAAAAAATCAATATACTAAACATTTAATTGATACAAATGCCTACAGGTTGTATACTGTTTTAACACCTTTTGGAGGTAACAAAGTATGAATGAAGTATCCAAGCAAAGACGAACATAGTACATTTCAATGCAAACCAGGATTTATCATAATAAGGGGAATTCAGCCAGCAAGGCATTACCGCAAGAAAGACACAACTTGAGGGGCAAGTTTTAGAGTTCAGAAGTTATGATTGAAACTAATAGGATACTACAAGCCTGGATGCATGCATAGTCACCAGACGGCCACCGCAGTTGGCAGTTATAAAGCTTAACATCTCAACAAACGTCCCAAGCACGAGAAACATGAAAGGATTGATTCACAAAGAAACAGTGACCTACGCAAATTATAGAGCAACTATCTGCTATATATAAACCAGAGCAGTAAAAGGATGTTATAGAAGGGGAAAAAACCAGAGCTGCAAAACCCTGCAAACATTTTTCAAATATCGACTGCCTTCACTATCTCAGAAATTTCAAGAGGCTCAACAGCGAAACTCAAAACATAGTCAATAAATCACATTTTCACCACTTCTCTAAAAACTTGGATTCAGGATTAGTTGGTTTCTTTGGTAAGGTAATTGGCACAGTTATAATCCGACTAAGTCTCCTTGTGTTCCCAATCAATCCATCCTAAAAGAGCATTACAGACAGACTAAATACAGCCTATTTTAGTCAGTTATCATAGCCTGAAAAGAGACACACCTGTTTATGGAATCTATGGAACTAGTAACATGATCCCGAAGATGGCGGAAGCAGTATAGACCAGTTAGCTCATCCCCAGCCTAAAAAAGATAGAAACCCATTTTACCTTCATAAGAAAGAGCCCCCTAATCGTCTAAAAGTATCCAACATCAATCGCAAATAAACTTACCAACAAGTTTTGGAGATCGTCAGTTATATCCAAAGCTCCAGCACAATCTGCGGACGCAACAAGCTGAACAATAAAGAATCAAACTTCCATCAAGAAAAGATAGGAAAAACACAAAAGTAGCTAACTTGACACTACTCTAAGCGAATCAGTAAGAAAAAATTACCAATTTGAGTGCAGAGAGAGCTTGGTTAACATACAAAATAAGTCTCAATTTACGTTGCAGCTCCAACATATTAATCCTAGTTGAGCTCAGCTCTTGAATCTGTCGAGCTGAATCTACCAAATTCCTGTCCAAGAGCCGAATAGTCTCTTTCAACTCACGAATCCTACTACAACCCTCAACAATCTTCACATTCAAATCCTGTAACTGCCCCTGAGCCTCAAAGAACGAATCGGACCTAACAGATATCTCCTTCACAAGATGCAGCTCCACCACATCAAGATACTGTGACAACTTCTCTTGAAGCGCTAGATTCTCATTCAAGCTCGAGAAAGGGCAAGCAGAACGAAATGTAGCTCCGTCCTCAAGAGCAAAATCCTCCTTAAAGTAAAGCGAAGGAACCTCACGCAAACACGCAGCTAAACCCGATACATGGCTCTCCTGATCAAACCCAGAGCTCTCTTCCCTCGTATGCTTCCTAATATCCTCAAACCTACCATGAGACTCAGAGATCGAAGAAACGTAGCCATGGAAGTCGGATCTGGTAAGCTCCGAACCCGGTAGCTTCGTTGAAGCAACAGGCGCGAACTCAGACGGAGCTACAAACGTAGACGAAGACCACCAACCAACCCAAGAAGCATCGGAACCATAAACACCAGACTTACCTCCATGTGGATTGTTAAGGATCGAAGAGAGACTTTGACTACTTGCATCGGAGATCGATTTGGTTAACGGTGAAGGAGAAGAAGACGAAGACGAAGAAGGACGACCAAGATCTAAGCTCGATCGGTTCGAATTGGTAATGGACCTTCCCATTTGGGAAGGGTGTGAATCCATAAGACCTTCACGAAATCAAAATCATGAACCAAAAAGCTGTGGAGAAATTTCACAATCGAATTTTGAAATCGGAGGGATCTTTGGGGATTTGAAGAGTGTGGATCGAATCAAATTGTGTGTGTTGTGAGAAAGTTTGGTGAGACTTTGGATCTGGAAGAGAATCGAAGAACGGAGGACTCACTGAGGAAAGCCCTCTCTGGGTCGAGACTCGATGGTTCGAGAGGGAGATGGTGTGATCAGTGCGTGGTTTCACTGCAGAGATTTAATCGACGGTTGATTAGGTATCCACGTCATCTAATAAAAAGGATAAAAGTTTGATGGGGTTACTAAATACTACAGGTATTACTACTAAATCATGTTCGTTTCATAATCGACAGCGACTGCAACCGCGATTTTAAAATTGCGGGATATTGTTCGTTTGGCAGTCGCGCGACTAATCGCCACTTAAATAATCGCATCACTAATTTTTCCTGCGATCAAAAATTTCATTACTAATCATCAAAGCATTACACAGCTCTTGTTGTGATAAAAGCTTTACTCTATTTTCTGGCTCTGTATCAATGGTCTCGTCTCTACCAGATATTAATTATCTCTATGATGCTTCCACCTTACTCTAATATCCCCATTGACAATAAAATCCCGGTAGTTCTTTCTGGCCTGATAGCCTCTCCAACGAGCCTGCCCATTACGGTTTAAAGTGTTAGAACTGGAGTTAATTAAAAACGAATCAAGAACATATTTTCAGTTATCAAACATTTACACGTATTATTGACATGGTTCAAACATTTTCAGTTATCAAGCATTTTCTAGTAATCTCTGTCCCACTGCAGAACTCATGGATCTATCAAACAAGTTTGTGGATTATTCTAAAGGGCATCCATTTGCTCTCAAGTTGTTAGGTTCTGATCTTTGTCAAAGAGACAAGTTATATTGGATTAGGAAATTGGAGAGACCGCAGAGAAGGCCAGATGGAAAGGTTCAAGAAGTTCTGCATATGAGTTATGAGGAACTATGCCTGGAAGAGAAGAGCATATTTCTGGATGTTGCTTGCTTCTTCAGATCAGAAAAGTTGGATTTGGTTTCGAGGATTCTGAGCACTTACCATATTGATGCTTCTAATGTGATAAATGACCTTATTGACAAATGCTTAGTAACCGTTTCGGATAACCGGCTTGAGATGCATGACTTACTGCTTACGATGGAGAAGGAAATTGGTTATGAATCATCCATCAAAGAGGCAGGTAAGCGCGGTCGGTTATGGGACCAAGAGGAAATTTGCCGCGTTTTTAAACATAAAACGGTGAGTCTGAATGTCACATTTGTTCTTACGAATGTGATTCTTCTACTATAGTTTTTAATTAACTTTTTTCTTATCCAGGGGACTGCAAAAATTAGGGACATCTTCTTGGATATGTCTAATGTAGAAAGCATGAAGCTAAGTGCTGATATTTTCACGGGGATGTTGAGTCTCAAATTCCTGAAATTCTACAATTCTCATTGTTCCAAGTGGTGTAAAAATGATTGTAGATTTCGTTTCCCGGGTGGGCTTGATTGCTTTCCAGATGAGCTGGTGTATCTCCACTGGCAAGGGTACCCTTTGGAGTATCTTCCATTGAACTTCAACCCGAAGAAACTCATTGATCTTAGTCTGCGTTATAGCAGCATTAAGCAACTATGGGAGTATGAGAAGGTACAACCTTTGCAGTAAAGTCTCCCATTCTATCAGATTTTAGTGTGATTAAGTATGTGATTATAAAATTATTGATCTTGCAGAACACAGGAGAGTTAAGGTGGGTTGATCTCAGTTATTCGAAAGACTTGCTGAATCTATCTGGCTTGTTAGAAGCTCGTTAAATCTTGAATGTTGTACAAGTTTAGCCAAGTTTTCATCAATCCAGCAAATGGACAGCCTTGTTTCTCTGAATCTCAGAGATTGCATAAACCTCAAGCGTCTTCCAAAGAGCATTAATCTGAAATTTTTGAAGGTTCTTGTCCTCAGTGGCTGTTCAAAACTCAAGAAATTCCCAACTATTTCAGAAAACATAGAATCTCTGTATTTGGATGGCACATCAGTAAAAAGAGTTCCTGAATCCATAGAGAGTCTCAGAAACCTTGCTGTGTTAAATCTAAAGAATTGCTGCAGGTTGATGCGTCTGCAGTACTTGGATGCTCATGGCTGTATCTCACTCGAAACAGTAGCAAAACCCATGACGCTTCTTGTGATAGCTGAAAAGACACATTCTACTTTCGTATTCACGGATTGCTTCAAGCTAAACCGAGATGCACAAGAAAATATTGTGGCTCATACTCAACTGAAGAGTCAAATACTGGCGAATGGATATCTTCAACGTAATCATAAGGTCCAATATCTTCGGTTTTATCATTTTCAGGAACTAGTTTTGGGACCTTTAGCTGCTGTAAGTTTTCCAGGAAACGACTTGCCATTATGGTTCCGCCATCAAAGAATGGGATCTTCAATGGAAACCCACCTGCCTCCACACTGGTGTGACGATAAATTCATTGGCCTTTCTCTCTGCATTGTTGTCTCTTTCAAGGACTATGAAGATAGAACCAGCCGTTTCTCGGTAATATGCAAGTGCAAGTTTAGAAACGAAGATGGTAATTCCATCAGCTTTACTTGTAATCTTGGAGGATGGACCGAGTCATCTGCATCATCAAGCCTCGAAGAACCAAGACGACTTACCTCTGATCATGTGTTCATCAGTTACAACAACTGTTTCTATGCCAAGAAAAGCCATGAACTCAATAGATGTTGTAACACCACCGCCTCATTCAAATTCTTTAATACTGATGGAAAAGCCAAAAGAAAGCCAGATTTCTGTGAGGTAGTGAAATGTGGGATGAGCTATTTATATGCACCGGATGAGAATGATTATAGATTGCAGGGATTACAGGAGAATAACCTCGAGAAAGCGGTATCTAGAAAAGAAACAGAACTAAATGAAACCGCATTGGATGAAGCTGCTATGTCCAAGAGAGCCCGTTTATGTTTACAAGAGGAAGAGCTACTGAACAGAAAAAGAAAGAAGGATGATATCTCTTATCCTGATCATGAGTGTTCTGTAACTTCTGTTTTTAGTTACGTGTAGCCAACACAGCCTCATCTCTGGAAATAACTAGTTTCAGAAAGCTGATTTCAATCAAGGTTTGGCTTCTAAACAGAGGTCGAATCTATCTTACTCTTGATTCCATCTCTTACGTGAATTGCAGAAACAGTATTTATAGAGTTTCTCAAGTTTCCAAGTGAATTGGCTACTCTTAAGCAATTTTCAAGAAGATATATTTGGATCTCTGTCTCACAAACAAATATCTTCTACAAAGGTTGAAACAGTTTCCTCTACTGTCACACAACAAACTCAGAATCACATCTTTTTAGGTATTTTTTTGGTATTCTTAAATGTAAAAGCTTAAGTTTGACTTGTAATAAGATTCATTGAGACTTGAAGTAAGATTCCAATGCAAACTTATTGCGATATCTCTCTGCACAATAATTAATAAGATTCTTTGAGACTTGAAGTAAAGTTCCAGTACATTGCATTACCAGTTCATATGCCACCTCGCATATGTTACTTTATCCACAAGCGTTGATATTAAACAAAAAAAAGTATCCTATTTCATGCCTTTGAGTGATTTGGTTTACGTCTTCTAAATAATAAGAATAAGTATAGCCAAAAAAGTTAGAGAAGTCAAATGCTTAAGTTGTAAAATACCAAAAATCCCGCACTAAAAGAATGAATATCACACAATCAAAAGTCAAAAGTGGACGCCAAACACACTAAACGATAGTATACTATTTTGCTTCAAACCTTACCAATGTTTTAGACCATTGACCTAAATTTACTATTTTAAAAAAGTTTCATGAGAATTAGGAGTGTTCACATAATGTGTTAAACAGTCACGCAACAAGTCACATGAATAATTTCCCATATATACAACCAAAGTAACCCCACAAGATTAATTGAAGCCTCACGTTTCTTTCTTGGTCATTTTTTGACGTTACCAAACCCACTGAATAAAACTTTTAAAGTAATGAAAACAACTTTAATATTAGATCGTTTCCACTTTATCATTTTACTTATATTGGAAGTTTATAACTAAAATCCTCCAAGATGAAAAATGACACTTTACTCTTTGTGAATCCTTTAATTGAACAAGCGGAATCAACACAACAACACATTGTGAAGAAGAAAGAAAAAACAATGGCTTCACAAACCAAAATCAAGAAACCTAATTCTCATTTTAGTCTTTGTACTTTCCTCTTCTTCACCGTCCTCTTTACCATACCGGCTCTCTTCCTCCTCCGCACCTCCTCTTGCTCTTCCTCCACGGCCGCAGTCTCCTCCTCCTCTGACACAAACCAGCCACCGTGGTCTGGCGACCTCCAAACCGCCCAATTTGCTTGGAACCGTCTTGATTTCTCCTTAACCAACCCTCCTCCAAAAACCCTAAAACTCGCTGTTTTCTCCCGGAAATGGCCCACTGGGCCCAATCCCGGTGGCATGGAACGCCATGCTTTCACTCTCTACACTGCTTTAGCTCGCCGTGGACACCGTGTCCACGTTTTCACCTCTCCTTTAGACCAATCCCCTGAAACCAACAAAATCCCCCCTGTTTCCGACCAAATCCTATACCCTATAATCCATTCTCACGGCGACGCTGAGCCCGGAAAATGGCGGTATAACAAAGCATGGGAGCTTTACCAAGAAGAAAACAAGAGAGAACCTTTCGACGCGGTTCACTCCGAAAGCGTGGCTTTACCTCACTGGATCGCCAGGGAGGTTCCAAACCTCGCCGTATCCTGGCATGGCATTGCGTTAGAGAGCTTACAATCAAGCATTTACCAAGACCTGATTCGGAAACCAGACGAACCAAGATCACAGGGCTTCAATGCAAGTCTATACGGTGCCGTGCTTCCCAAGATACTCGACGAAATCAGATTCTTCCACAACTACGCTCACCACATCGCAATCAGCGATAGCTGCGGAGAAATGCTAAGAGACGTTTACCAAATCCCTGAGAAAAGGGTTCACGTGATTCTTAATGGAGTCGACGAAAACGGATTCACATCAGACAAGAAGCTACGTTCTCTGTTTAGGTCAAAATTAGGGTTACCAGAAAACTCATCAGCGATTGTTTTAGGAGCTGCTGGGAGATTGGTTAAAGACAAAGGACATCCATTACTCTTCGAAGCTTTTGCGAAACTAATCGAAACACATTCTAATGTTTACCTAGTAGTAGCTGGATCAGGGCCATGGGAGCAACGTTACAAGGAATTAGGCGAAAAAGTTTCCATTTTGGGATCTCTAAACCCACATGAGCTCAAGGGTTTCTACAACGGGATCGATTTGTTCGTAAATCCGACGCTTAGACCACAAGGTCTTGATTTAACGTTAATGGAAGCGATGTTGAGTGGTAAACCAGTGATGGCGTCGAGGTACGCAAGCATAAAGAGGAGTATAGTGGTGAATGATGAGTTTGGGTTTATGTTTGCGCCGAATGTGGAAGCTTTGACGGCGGTTATGGAGGTTGCGGTGGCGGAAGGAACAGAGAGATTGGCGGAGAGAGGGAGGAAGTGTAAAGAGTATGCGGCGGAGATGTTTACGGCTAGTAAGATGGCTTTGGCTTATGAGAGGCTTTTTCTTTGTATTAACGATCAGAAATTTTGTATCTACCACTAATTAGTAATTAGTAATTTACTCAACATTTTAATTTTTCTTCGAAAAGTGAGTCATAGCCAAATAAGCAAAGTAGTCAATTACATATCTAAAGTTACACAAATATCTAGTCTTTTAGATTTTGTTTTCCAATTCCAACAAAATAAGATTTATCTTCTTCTTTGAAAAACGATATTTATCTTTTGAGTTAAAATGAAATCATATATATATGAAAGTTGGTCAACTCTCTCCATATGAGTGCCACATCATCACAAAAAAATGACATGTGTCATTCTACATTATTTAAATTAAAAATTTAGCAAAATTAAATGAAAAAAAATAAAAGTTCTTCATTGCATTACATCCCCCATCAATCCTACTTTTAACTGATTTCTTCAAAATAAAATAAAAGTTACAAAATTATGTTGATACATCAAGCACGTCTTTATTTTACTCTTTTTATTTTACTATTTTTTTTTTTATCAATGGTCACTAACGACTAAAAATTTATTTGTGTTGTAGTTTACTTGTTTGCTACCTAACCTCTTATTAGTTTAGTAATTTTACCTTGAATCTTTTCTCATTATTACGTTTTGTAGTTCATATACGACTTATCATATGACCTTCTCTCTTTTTATTTTGTGTCTTATGGTAAGTTGATAACATTGACATGCAAATTTTTTTAAATAATGGATCTTTGAGACGTTAGACATACCAAAGAATTCAAGAGACGACCATTATTTTAATATGGCTATATACAATGACAGAAGATTTAAAAGTGTTGACTTAAATGACTCTTTAATTTTTGTTTTCTTTTATTTTTATATGAAAAATCTAGAGGTCTTGTTCAAATTATGTCAATCGAGTATTTAATAACCTATCATGATGTGGCCAGAGTACTAGAGTACTAGATCAGGAGAGTACATTGACTAAGAAATTTTTTTGTTTATAATCAAGTTAGACAGGTTTCAAACCACACAAGTAACATAATTATATATCATTGTATCAAAATATCTTATATTGTTGTTGTATGTATTCATTCATGATAGTGAAAAAATATTAAGATCTTAGATATAAATAATCATATTTATACATGAAAATGTATAAATTGATATTTCAAGTCAAAAATAAATTTAACCACAAAAATTGTAACTACATAAGATGGATCTAATTTTATTAACAACATGATAAAAAAAACAAAAAAAAAAACAGAAATTAGCAACAATAACTAATCATAAAACGGTTCAAAACTTCAAATATTCATAAAGAATTTATTAAAATAAAATCAAACTCGCATTTTTAAATACTTACATACTCGCCACTGGCACTTTTTGATGTGAAGAAGAAGAAGAAGTTGACGTTTTGTGGTCGTGAGTTAAGTCGAACACTAACGACACACGATCTTGAAACCAAATCATATGATGTTACTTTCACTGCTGAATCTATCGGATTACCTGTTTTATATTTCCAGAGTTTAATCTCTATTTCATAACTATCAATACATAATGTAATCTTTGCTTTTTCAAGATATAATTATGGGTCAGAGTCTTGTGTTTTAATTCAACTAATTACCAAAATCCAAAACAACAAAATCAACCTCAGCCAAAATCCACTAAAGTTCCATTAATCAGTCTGTTATAATTTAGATCCTACATATACACAAACCGTTGGGGTTGAAGCAAATTTCTAAGAGTCGATGACGTTTGAACTTAAGAGTCGATGACGTTTGAACTTATGCGAGCTTGTTCAAACCGTTGATAAGCTCGTCTAGTTCTAATAAACAACACAAGACTCGAACCTAGCCCAAATAGAGACAAGCAACCCCACCACACAAAGGTCAAGTAATAACAATCTCGTCCCATACACACCACCGACTCCGCCGTCATCGATTTGGTCCCGGTGAAACCATGTGAGTCATAGACTAATGCTGCCAAGAATCCATAGATCAATGATCCTATCGGTATGTTTGTGATCAAGATATTGTGGTTAACTCCAACACTGTTTGGTCCGAAAAGCTCTGATGTGATGGAAACCGCTGCTGCGAATATAAACCCAGAACTTAAACCCATCAGCGCTGTTCCTGCTTGTAATGCTGATGCATTTCCTGATGATGCAAGCAAGAAAAGCGCAAATGGTGTTGGTAATAGCGCGATTGCTAACCACCCTGTTCTCGCAAAATAAACCTTCCTGCACAAATTAAAACATTCAAAACTCCGCAATCAACCATCCGGTGTTGTAGAAAGCAATTTTCGACTAATCAAAGATCGATGCACTTACGCTCGGATATAATCAGGTGTTGCAGAAAGCAATCTTCCAAAGAATGAGAAAGCGGAATAAAGTGTGACAAGAGTTGTGGTATTTGAGCTTTGTCCTAAAGACTGAGCAATCTGTCCGAGGTTGTTGCTGTACACAAGTCCAATGGTTCCACCGCAGAAATAAGCGATATAGTATAACCAGAAATCTGATCTGCGTAACAGCAGCGACAAAGAATGTTCAATTCCCAAACCTTCAAGCTGATCTCTTGTAATAAGCTTCTTGCAACAAGACTCATCACTATCGTCTTCCTCAACAGCTACTGTCTTAACCGGGTTTTGCACCACATCATCATTCAGCAATTGGTAGCCTTCACGATTTGCTTCATGTGCAAGCATCCCTTTATGCAACTCAAGGTCATCAGGATCAACAAGAATGAAACCAGAACCTTCTAGACGGAAACTGGTGTGGATTGTGCGGTTATACCAATTCCGGGCGATGACTAAACCAGGAATACATAAAGGGAAGATCAAAAGGACGATAGCACCACCAAAGAGGAGACGAGCAGAGGTTAAATCAGTTGAGTTTGATCCAAAGAGAAGGAGATAAACACCGTTTAAAGCAGCGAGTATGTTGAGCAATAGAAACATGAGAGAGTCACGACGAACTCCATCTGGTGGAAGAGGCTCAAAAGGCGGTTGGCGAAGAATCGGGATGATTGCAGTGAAAGAGACAATGAGCGGTATAAGAGCGTTTAGAAGAAGGTATAGCTCTGGAGAGGTTGGATTGATTGCGTTATAAGCGAGAGTATATAACGCGGCGCTTACGCCATTGAAGCTCACAGTGAGGGAAAGAGCAAGTGATCTGTTTGCAGGGAAGTTACTAATGCAGAGTACAAAACAGACTGTGTTGAACCAACAGATACTTAGACCAGCAAGTAAGCAACATAGAAACACCTGCACACAAGCTAGCCAAACTTAATCAAAAAATTTCTTCAGAAACGGCAAATTATTAAAAAATTCATATAATTGACTTGATTAGGCAAAAAAAAAATACTAAACAAAAAAAACTCACATTCAATATTTGTATATTTACTTTATTAAATTATGTTAATAACAGAATTCTATGTTATCACTTACTCATTAGAAAATGACGTTTCAGAAAATCGTGGTTGTCAATATTTCTATACGAACAATAAGAATTATATAAAATATCGGATTTTAAAAATTTTTTAACGTCATAATTTATAATATAGAATCATAGATGTAATTGCAGATTTTCGAAACAGCCATCAAACATGACACAAAACTCGTAAGTTGTTGGGAATATTGCAAAATCTACCACATTTTAACAACTGGCATTCAAAATCTACCACAATCTCAAAAAGCTTTCAAAATCTACCATATTTCAATAGCACATGTGGAATGCTGGACCAAAATACCCCTGATTGGGACATAGTCTGTGTCAAGGACAGAGTCTGTGTCAGAGACAGAGACAGTTTTGTCTGGCGCTTCCAAAGAAGGAGCAGGTCTGCAATAAATGCTGCACGGTTATTTAAATAATATGTTATATCAGGGACAAATTCAGATCTAATGAGTAATATAATTAGATCATGGACAAATTCAGATCGAATGAGTGATATACTTAGATCGAGGACAAGTTCTGATCGAATGGGTAATAGAATTAGATCGGGGACAAGTTCATATCGAATGAGTAATAGAATTAGATCGGGGACAAGTTCATATCGAATTCAGATGGAATGGGTAATAGAATTAGATCGGAGACAAGTTCAGATCGAATGAGTAAGATAATCAGATCGAATATGTTATATTGGGGACAAGTTCAGATCGAATGAGTAAGAGAATTAGATCGGGGACAAATTCAGATCGAATGGGTAATAGATATAGATCGAGGACAAGTTCAGACCGAATGGGTAATAGAATTAGATCGGGAACAAGTTCAGATCGAATGAGTAATAGAATTAGATCGGGGACAAGTTCAGATCGAATGAGTAATAGAATTAGATCGGGAACAAGTTCATATCGAATGAGTAATAGAATGAGTAATAGTACTCGGGACAACTGGATCTTTTTGTTATTTTGCAATAGAAGGAAAAAAAATTCAATAATCAGGGTAGGTGAATACAATAATGCTCAACTAATCTGTGGACCAAAATAGATGGTGAAAAATCTAAATAAAATTTGAAACCCTTAAATGAGAACAATTGGTGGACAAGATGTGGAATTCATGATAATAGAGCAAGATGATGAAATCGGGGACAAGATCTAGACGCAACAGAGAATTTCCAATCGGGGACAAGATCTGGAGACAAAAACGAAAGTTAATTGTTTAGTCTAAGGAGATATAATGTTTCTTGGTTAAAATGCACGTGTTTCGAGGGAGAGAGAGATAAATAGAGGAGCTAATATTGTAGAGAAGATAAATAGGGAGGAGAGATAAATAGGGAGGAGAAATAATTAGGGAGGAAAGATAAAAAAGAAGATAAAGGGAGGGCAAAATGGTAACTCTACATCAAAATGTGGTATGAGTTGAAAGAAGGGAAAAAATGTGGTAGATTTTGTAGTTTTTCCAAGTTGTTGCCACTTGCCACCAACCAAATAAATGGAAGACAAATTCTAAAAATAATGCATATACCAATAAATAAGAAAGTACATCGACAAAAAAAAAAAAAAAAAATTGAACTAGCAATCTACCAATCAAACGTGCACCCAATCTGAGATTCAATATCTTATTTCCGTCTCACTTGTTCACAATTTCAACATATATTAATATATAAGCTGTTCTTAAACAAACAGAAATAAAATTGAATCAGATCCTTATTATAAAAAAAAAGAATCATTCTTAAATAAACTAATTTTTGAATTATAAGACAAAAATATCCGACCATGTTATCAACTCCAATATTAGGATTATTCCAATCTCTAGATTTTTTTTTTCCATTCTTTTTTTTTATGAACATTTATTTAAAAGAGCAAATAAAAGGTAGAAAAAGTTAGTTACGTTACCATAATATAAGGCAAAGAGATGAAATGAGTGATGACGAGCCACTGAACTCCATAACCGACGAATCCCATAAACGCCGCCGCGAAAAGCACCGTCCAAAGCGGGAAATACATAAGTGCTAGCCCCGACGACCATCCGAAAACTTTTCCGAGATCCGAAGCCACGGCGAGGTAGTTTAGCTGCACCTGTGAAATCCCTAGAACCGATTTCAAATCTGACGAGTAAGCTGAGAAATCGAAATTCGTCCCGGTGAAAGCTTGAATCCATATCGTCGCCACCAGAATCATCCATTTTCGTGATTGCCCCGCCATAATCTTTTCGCCGGCGTTGGTTCTGAAAATCGAATCACCGAGCGAGAGAGACTTTGTGGGTTTTTTTTTTTTTTTTGTATGGTAGAGAGAATTAGAGGTGTTTTGTGTGAGTGAGCTTTTTCTCGTTTGGTTTTCTCTATTTTTTGAGGAAATTAATAAGAAAAGGATTCTTCTATTTACGTGGCACCCTTTCTATTTTCTTTTTATAACAGATAATTTATCTATTTTCTTCAAATAAGATATGATTAGTTTTAACTTTTAAAAGTTTTGGTTGTTTTAATAATTAAACAGACAAACGGTGTCTTTTGGAGATGATTAAAGATAGCAAGACTATGATTAAAATAGAGAGCGAAATAATTACTACGGACACATTATGATTGTGATATTGATTACCAATATATATGCGCATATATATACACTTTAATGGAAATGTCTCTACTTAGTAGTAGTATTACTGCAAGTGTTAGTATTTTTTATTTTATTTTTATTTGAATGGTGTCTTAGTAATATATTTAAAAATAATAAAAATAATCAATTGGACTTGTATGTATTTGTTTTTATGTTTCCATTTGTGTACTTTTAATGCAAGTGTTAGTATTTGTTTTTAAAATAAAAGATATTTAATGAACTTGTGGTGACAGCTTGTTTTTTTTTTTGTTTTTTGGTGACAGCTTGTTACTTTTCACCGAATATGTTCTACATTTATAATAATATATTTATAATAATATATATGCAAATGCAGTCGTGAGTGAGATTCGTGAGGAATTATTGTATTAAATATCGATCAATTACTAGAATAAAATGAAGGATGGATCTTGACGAAACATTATTACTCCATCATTCACGTTTACCTTCTCTATTTTCTTTGTTTTTATAGTTTCACCTTTTTAGCCTAGGATTTTTGTCAATCCTACCTGATTACCCGTTAATTAATTGTATGATCCTTAATACGTACGAAACTACAAATGTTATACTATATATAGTAGATGAAATCTCTGAATAATCTTGTTTCCACGTGAATCATAAGCTAAAAGTTGATTCTAAACAGTGATAACATGACATTATATATTAATATTATCTTGACTTAAATTAAAGTTACAATGCGTGGGTCATCTACGCACCAAATCAAAGATTTTGTTTAGACACAATTTTCATTGTTTAAATTGTTTTTCTATGAACGCATTGTTGACAATTTCTAGCTACGTTATTCTACAATTCTTTTGTTTCTTACGATGTCTCCATCTGATTACGTCTCTATACTTCTTTTTAAACAAGTGATTGCATTTTAATAAAACACAACAATAATATTTTTACCAAAAAAAAACACAACAATATGATGAAAAACAAAAATAAAAACGAAATTTTTGTATGAAAAAAAAAAACCGGAAAACATTACAAGTTTGATATTGGGCTACAGTGTTGTAGCTTTCAGCCCAATCATTAAAAATCACGGGCCCATAAAAGGCCCAATTTTGTCGACCCCGTTCGTGTCCCCCAAGTCTGAACCCTGGGTTTTTGCCCACATCGCCTCCTCTCTCCAGAATTTCTCCGTCTCTCTCTCCGATGGCGTGGCTCAACACCATCTTCAATTCTTCTTCGACATTGATCAATGGCGGCTCTTCTCTATTTCCCTAAGATCTCTTCACAAATGACTTCCTCACATTTCTTCTCTTTCTCACCAATGGATTTGAGGAGACTCTCTCGCACAAGCTACTTATTCACTCGCCGCTTGAAATCCATAGCGAAAGCTCGAAAAAGCTTCCATACAACTCGATACCTGCAACAGTGCGTTCATCGGCTGGATAAATCGGAAGAGATTTCCTCTGATCGGCATTTACACGAACGGTTATCTTCAGTTTTGTCGAAGAGATCTCTAGATTACGAGCAATGTAAACAACTGATAACTGTTTTATCGCCTCATGAATTCGATAGGTTGTTTCCTGAGTTTCGATTCAAAGTGAATCCCAAGACGGCTTTGGATTTCTTCCGATTAGCTTCTGATTCATTTAGTTTCTCCTTTAGTCTCCGTTCTTATTGTTTATTGATAGGTTTATTGCTTGATGCGAATCTGTCGTCCCCTGCTAGGGTAGTTTTGATTCGTTTGATCAATGGGAATGTACCGGTTTTGCCTTGTGGTAATGGTGGTTTGAGAGATAGTAGAGTTGCGATTGCGGATGCAATGGCGAGTTTGAGTTTGTGTTTTGATGAAGAAATCAGAAGGAAAATGTCAGATTTGTTGATTGAAGTTTATTGCACTCAGTTCAAGCGTGATGGTTGTTATTTAGCTCTTGATGTATTTCCTGTTCTTGCAAACAAGGGTATGTTTCCTTCTAAGACGACTTGCAATATTTTGCTGACTTCTTTAGTGAGAGCTACTGAGTTTCAGAAGTGTTGTGAAGCTTTTCATGTTGTTTGCAAAGGGGTTTCTCCGGATGTTTACTTGTTCACTACAGCGATTAATGCGTTTTGCAAGGGAGGTAAAGTTGAGGAGGCCATTGAGTTGTTCTCAAAAATGGAAGAAGCGGGTGTTGTACCAAACGTTGTTACCTACAATACTGTTATTGATGGGCTTGGGATGAGTGGAAGGTATGATGAGGCATTTATGTTTAAAGAAAAGATGGTAGAAAGAGGTGTGGAACCAACTCTTATCACTTATAGTATTCTTGTCAAGGGTTTGACCAAGGCTAAGAGGATTGGTGATGCTTATTGTGTCTTGAAGGAAATGACAGAGAAAGGGTTTCCTCCTAATGTTATTGTATATAATAATCTGATTGATAGTTTAATTGAGGCTGGAAGTTTGAACAAAGCTATTGAGATAAAGGATCTCATGGTTTCGAAAGGGTTGTCTCTCACATCGTCGACGTATAATACTCTCATAAAGGGATACTGCAAGAGCGGTCAAGCAGATATTGCGGAGCGTCTCCTGAAGGAAATGCTGTCGATTGGTTTTAATGTAAATCAGGGCTCCTTTACATCTGTGATTTGCTTGTTGTGCAGTCATCATATGTTTGACTCAGCACTTCGTTTTGTTGGAGAGATGCTACTACGTAACATGAGTCCTGGTGGTGGATTACTTACTACATTGATTTCTGGTCTCTGTAAGCATGGGAAACACTCAAAGGCAGTAGAACTTTGGCTTAAATTTCTAAATAAAGGTTTCCTAGTAGACACGAAGACTTCAAATGCTTTGCTTCATGGACTCTGTGAAGCAGGGAAGCTGGAAGAAGGTTTTAGGATTCAAAAGGAGATATTAGGGCGTGGCTTTGTTATGGATAGAGTTTCCTATAACACGTTGATTTCTGGATGTTGCGGAAATAAGAAATTAGATGAAGCTTTTATGTTCATGGATGAAATGGTTAAGAAAGGACTTAAGCCTGACAATTATACTTATAGCATATTAATTCGCGGGCTGTTGAATATGAATAAAGTTGAGGAGGCCATACAGTTCTGGGGTGATTGTAAACGGAATGGCATGATTCCAGATGTTTATACATATTCGGTGATGATAGATGGATGTTGTAAAGCTGAAAGAACAGAAGAGGGTCAGAAACTGTTTGATGAGATGATGAGCAATAACCTGCAGCCAAATACTGTTGTTTACAATCATCTAATCGGAGCGTACTGTAGAAGCGGAAGGCTTTCGATGGCCTTGGAACTCCGTGAAGATATGAAACACAAAGGAATTTCACCTAATTCTGCTACATATACTTCACTAATAAAGGGGATGTCGATCATTAGCCGTGTTGAGGAGGCAAAACTCCTCCTCGAGGAGATGAGGATGGAGGGTTTGGAACCGAATGTCTTTCATTATACAGCCCTTATTGATGGATATGGTAAATTGGGTCAGATGGTCAAAGTTGAATGTCTTCTGCGTGAGATGCATTCAAAGAACGTACACCCAAACAAGATTACCTACACTGTGATGATTGGTGGGTATGCTAGAGATGGGAATGTTACAGAAGCTTCTAGGCTTCTACATGAGATGAGGGAAAAAGGAATTGTACCAGATAGTATCACATACAAAGAATTTATATACGGATATCTTAAGCAGGGAGGTGTTTTGCAAGCTTTTAAAGGCTCTGATGAAGAAAATTATGCAGCAATCATTGAAGGATGGAACAAACTCATTCTGTAACTGATGAATAAGTAGAAGAAAAGGTTTCTATTCTGGTTCTCAATTTTCTATTAGTTGCTCTGGTTGCTTCAGTTTATTAATGTATATTGTTCTGATTTGTACTATAGTTGTGCATCCTATCCTTGCGGTTGGCAAATTGGTATTCAGTGGCGTTCTCAGTTTTGATGGTCTTATTCACGCCCGGGATATGCGTCTTCTTCTTAGAGTAGGAACACGTTAGGATGGGTGAATGCATATGGTCCATTGCATCTTACAAGGAGGTGAATGTGTTCTACTTGATTCTCCAGCCACATTCACTTAACAGCTTCGGCCTTCTTCAATTTTGGGGAGAAAGTTGTTGCTTTTAGCATCATAGGCTATATGGGTTTATGATTTACAAATCCACATTACTGGTGCTCGTCAGGTTTATGATTGAGTGCCACAAGATCAAAGCCATATGATAGATTCTGGATCAGAGAAGGCACTTCATACAGCAGTCCTGAAAAGATTATACAGGTACACTAATGTATATACAGCTTTGTGCCTTTAATATATTACCGCTTACAAGTTCTATGCTGAGACCACTAGGATTCTTTGATACTGTTTGTTTTAAAGAATCTCTTGATACTGTTTACTGATTCCAATACACCCTTTTAGCAGATTGAATGAAAGATACACACATCCTGGACAGTCAATTAAAAGTTTACACATGGATATCCATGGGAGCTATGAGAGTGGATCAATAGGTGGCTCTTCTATTTACAGGTCATATAAATGTAAATACTCCTTCAAACTCCACTCTATAGTTCTTCTTCTCTTACTCTCTGTTTGGCCCAAAGTATTGATCTTTCACATTCTTTATCTATCTTTTGTGCTTCAGAGATCTTAAGCGAGTTTTCATCGGAGTAGTTTAGAACTAATTCATGCATGACACGTCGCTGGGGAAAATTTCCTCAGACGTGCAGAATTTTTGCCCCCGGAGATTAGTGGATTGATATGAAAGGTAACATTTTATTACGGTTTCAACTAATTCGACAGCATTCACCGCCGAGTAAAGACTTTCGGTGGGATGAATTTCTTCTTGTATACGATTCTTTTAAAAATTGTTAATTTTCTCTTAAATACTGTAGGTGGAAAAATAATGTTTTTGATGTACATAAAATAGTAGAAAGAGAGAAAAAAAAAAAAATACTTACACTGTTCATGCTTATTGTTTTTACTTATCGTATTCAAGATATACCCTACACAGAGATCGTTTTGAGAAGATTGTAAAAAGCCAATATGAAACCTGATAATATTAGGTCTCACTAAAGTTTCACCTGCTTAAGATATAGATCGATTATGCATTTTTAAGGGGTCTCTGTGAGCATCATTTGAGAACTTTCAGATATTCAATCTGGTTTAGATAGATAAATTAACTTGATTTCTCATATTCTGTCTAGAAGATACAATACTTATGGTCACAGATTGCTTATCCATTACCAAATCAGAGTTTTGCGATTAGAGATTTGGTAAATTGAGTCAATTACCCGAAAAAACGGGATCTCTGAAACATGAAGATTCATAAGATCACCGCCTTTTAGTGGAAAGTACAACAAATGAAACATATCGATACCAAACAGTTCCCATGCACGTGGGTATGGACCATTCTTATTTCTAACACCATTTGATTCCTACAGCTAAATTCCATTTTTCAGTTCCATAGATTCTGGGTTTCTTCCTTATTTTTATTTCTCATTTTTATATTTTTTTTTAATGTGTACTGTAGATCATGAAAACTAATGTACATTCCTTATTTAACTTGTAAGAAAATTTGTGTGAAGTGGAAGAGGTAAAGTCACTCGTTTAGTGGAGGTACATATCATTTTCATCCAGCTTTCATGGCCCCCTTTTTTTTTAACCAATTGAGATCGAGCAACACTGACCATACGATCATACTATGTTCTAGAGAATAATTTATGTAGGAGCCATATTCCGTACAGTACGGACTTGCAAATTGCATCTCTTTTGTTTTCTTATAATCAAAACCAAAAAAAATATCACTATGGAGCCAATAAACTTTTTGGAAAATGTTAATTTATGATTATATAGTCAGTATATCTCATGTATATATGGAAGTTAATCGTCTTATCGATGGATTAGCTAACTATATATGCGTTTTCAATTTTTTTTTTTTTTTTTTTTTGGATTTTCATTTGCTAGAGTATGTTCTGGACTTTGTTAATTTGTTAACTCGTAAGTTTTGCCATATACAAAAGAATATTCGAAGTATTTTTAAAAATATCATAAATATCACGATCAGAAGAAAACGATCCATGATTTAGGTATTCTTTTAGCTTTCGCCTTTTAATTGTTTGGCAATATACAACGAAAGATTGCGAAATCTCCAAATGAAACTTTATAAACATTGGACGGTTAAGCAAAATAATCTCTTTAGTTTCCACTTTTAAGATGTACCCATCAATCGGCCCAAAAATTTTGTTTTATCAAAAAATTCAAAATATTTAGTTTCGTGTTAGGACTTATACGCTAACATATATGTAATGTGTATGTATAGATGTGTGCATATAAATATGTTAAGCAAGGAGTGAAAAAGCAGTCCACAAAACAATCACTTCATACTATAAATCAATCTCTCTCATATATAGTCTTATGGCTACTAAATTCGTCATCCTCACTCAAATCCACCGCCCTAAAACCCTGATTTCAACCTCAAAATCTCGTCGATGCAGTCGAAACAAACCCAAACCATCCAAATCCAAAAGCGAAAACATGCTGACCAACGTCTTTTCTGGCAAAACGCTAACAGAAATCTATCACAATAAGACAAATTCACACCCTCTTACTAATCCACTACTGTTTATTGAAGATCAGTCCTTAAAAGACGAGGAGACGAATCAACAAGAACACGGGAAGGTCTCAATCTCCGACTACTGCAAAGATGGTAAGTCGATAACCGCGAGCAAATACGGAGATCTGAGGCGTGACGTTGCTCGACAAAGCTTGTTGTGGTACATGAAATGTTCCATAAGCCATATATTAAGGAGGGCAAGAGCGTTTTACAATGAGTTTTGTTGTGATACTTACGTTGAGAGTAACACTATGGCTGTGGTAGATCCATATTTTTCTATTCCGGTAATTTATTAATATCAACAAATCTACGTAATTAAGAATTGTATTTAATCATAATTAGCTAGTAAAATGTTTCAGTGGCTTTGTTGTGTTGTATAATGTGTTGTTGTACGTCCACATATGTGTAAAAAGACGTCCATTTATGAAATTAATGTTATATGAAAATTAATTCCGTGCAGTGTTGTGTTACGTACCTACTATCATCAGTGATGCACTTAAAATCTCACAAATATTGAATAATAAAGACTTAAATAGTTACGTATGTGCTAAACAACTAATCAGAATATTTCGGGATCAAATCTATCACCCATTGTATCACAAGATCAAGTCTAAATGTCTTTGAAACTGGAAGATCGACCCATGTATGCGACCGATCGAACAAATAAAGTCGGTATAATTAGTGATACATATTTATAATATTTTTTTGGTTACTCGTAATATCTTGGCGAATTTTCTTAACATGTTTGAGGTGAATCCACTTCTGGTACCATGTAACTCCAATAAATTCATGGTACCCTTTTGAAGATGTTGGACTTTCTTAACTGTAAATTTTAAATTTTACACAAACACAAACACACACACATATATATATTCGAATATAAACTAATCAACATGCATGTCTTTTATTTTTTCGGATAGCCTAACCAGCATTTCTTATTCATATATATATTATTGAGAGAGAGAGACTAGCTACTTAGCTAGTACTGTAGTATACTGAGTGTGTACTAATTTAATGGTGTACGTATGAATAGTAAGATACCTGTCCATGCATGCAGAATCACATGCATAACGGTGTAATTAAATTATTAAATTGCATTGAGAAGGACCACTCAATATTAAAATACATCGTTATATATATGGTCCTCTACACCATAAATGTTTCTGCACCGTTATATATGGTAACTTATGTTGACTCTTACCTGTCCCATTCATTACGAATTACATATTCTCTTCGTTACCTCTAGAAAACTAGAACTATATAGATACAGTGGCGGAGCCAGAAAATCTATTCATCGGGGTCAAAATATTTTTTTCTTTCTAAAAGATGCATAAAAGGTAGCTTCATAAGTCGATATACTAAAAAATGTGAAAGATGTTTTATTATTTCCACCATCACACAATCAAATATTGATTAAAAACACAAAGAAGAAAGAAGAAGAATGTAAAACGTTTTTAGATCAGGTCAAAATAAATGTTAAAATATTATATTACTTTATATTAATAGGTTTAATTGTAGTAGATTTACTTAAAATAAATTTTATTAGGTTAATATTATCTATAAGTACAGTGTAATTATTGGGTTTGTAACATAAATTTTTTTTATAGGGGTCAATATTTTTATTGGATTGGGGTCAATAGTTTTTTATATATAAAAATTCAACTATTTTTAAAAATTTCACCGGGTCAATTGACCCCTATGAATCTTCTCTCCCTCCGCCCCTGTATAGATATTAGATATGTATGGGGCAATGGGCATCAATCATGATGCTATCATGTTGAATAACTGATATTGGTGGACAACGAACTGGTATTGATGATCGTATGATCAGTGATTACTCTTACTCATGTTGTTGTTTCTGATGATGGGGACGAAGATTGAATTTTCTTATTTTGACCAAATTAGCTACGGGTTATTATGTGTGAATTGTGATTTCACAAATTTATAGTGGGATTTTATATATATCCAACTAAATTGAAAAAAAAAAGGTACTAAGTATTTAATTGACGTGAAAATGGTTGGTTTTTTGAGTTTTACTTTTCATGTATGGACTTAAAAAATGGGGAAGAATAGACAAATTATTTGGACAAAAATAAAATTAAAAATATTAAATTCCTAAAGCCCAATCGGTTTTCTAGTTCGACCCACATTTCAAACTTGGCTCATCAGCCCATATTCAAATTCCCAAATATATCAAAGGAAAACAAGAAATCCGACGATACATGTTTAAGCTGTTGGTTCAAATTACAGTTACATCTTTTTCTGCAAGATCAAGAATTTCAAACCAGATTCTACGTTAAAACGCAAAAAAATTCCATCGTTTAAAGTTTAAACTGATTGGACATCTTTGTTTGTTTAACATCAACCGATTGAACTTACTATTTTTGTCAACCAAAAAAAATATGCACTTCATATATATTAATCATGTCTATAACTATAAGACTATAATTATCAATGTCATCAGAGCTATTTTGTTGTCATATATAATATTCCGTTGGATAGTGCTTTATGTCTTTACATATTATAGTCTAATAATGTTTTGATATCAACACGGATGACCTATATCTTTCCGTAATCATGGATCTGGATTAGTAAAACTAATGCCAATAGGGGCCAGAAAATTTATTTAAATATTTTAACTTCTCCTTTAAGTCAAACAGGATCTATGATTAGAATTGTACTCTATATTTGGTATAATTGAGTCTTATAGATTAAAAAAAACAACTTAAACTATAGCTCATTGCTAATCAATACTAGAACATACAAAATCATTTTGCGATTCACTCTTTACCAGTACAATCATTTATAAATAATTAAATTTTCAGCTACTCTACAATAATTTACGATTTTAATAAACATAAAAATTCTATCATTCCACCATCTCTTATTTAGTTATTTAGATTAAATTTCTGTAACAATTATGTAAACAAACAATTATATAATTTGTTTTAGAAGTTAGAACTTTGTCCCCCCCAAAAAAAAAAAGAAAAGAAAAAAAAAGGAAGTTAGAACCAACAGACAGCAAGTTAATTTAAAATTTGGCCGACAAAAAAATTCAATCTTAATATTTATATACACTCGAATTAAAATTTAGCCACCATCAAAAGGCTTTAAATTTGCTAGTTGTCTAGAATCTTAATTTGGTAACACCAAAATCTTCCATTATGAATTAAAGTATTAAACCGATCTAGTTGAATAAATGGCCAAGTCGAGGGAAATGATCACACTCGTCTAATCGTTAAGTTATAAAGTATATATTCGTATAACATTTTTTGTGTTAATTATGTAGTAATAATCATGTGATTAGCTTAACTGGATTTACATAATAATGTTAGTTGATGGTGTTTCTTGGAACAACCCACATGGAATGTTTCTGTATATTCACTGATACGAATGTTACAAGTTGCTAACATCCGTAAACTTAAGAGAATATTATTTTTCGTCCTCATATAATTGTTTTATTTCTATAACTTTAATCTTTGTCTTGTGATTTACATTAAAACTTACGCAGCTTATAAGAGTATCAGCATTACACCATTTATGTCTTCATTGGTCTAATGCATAATTAATTGTCCTTTAATCTTCCTAATCAAACTATGTATGGTAGAAGAAGCACTAAATTGATTAGTATATAGTATATATTGTGTAAATACAGATCAATACTTATTATATATGCATTCGAGAATAGATACGCTAAATTGATGAGAGCAAATCTATTAGGATATTAATTAGAATTGTTTATTTTATTAATTGAGGAAGAAATAGTTTTCTCCTCTAAACTAGGAGCATATATATTCCCCACTCTTCCAACTTCCGTAATTGTAGTTTCCATGTTGTTTCTCTATTTAAAGACTAATGTCGATTAATGAAAGGGGAGAAGAAAAGTTGTCTAAGAAACTTGTGTTCTTGTGTTGTTCTTATGAGCAATTCTCTTTGGTTTTGAAGAGTGGCCAAAATTAACATTGATTGTTAACATAAATTAATTAGCAAATGATATATATTATGTTTAGACAATTAGACATACTACATAATATAGACGATCGAGGTGATGGGACCATATTAATTTCTGACTGGATTAAATATGTTATTGGATAATCATCAATCCATGAAAGGTTGATAAATAATGACAGGGGAACAAAAAAGAAACAAAAAGATAAACAACGACCAATCGCTGTTGAAAATGGACCAAACTCTTAGAAAATTATGATTTTCGTGTATATATATATATATATATTTGTCAAAGGGATTTTTGTATATTAACCCAATCACTTCACGAAACTTGACTAATTATTTTGTTGAAAATGAAAGTAATATCGTAACGATTAAATATTGGTACATAGTTGGCCAGCTAATGTTTTCTTAAATGCGAACATGTTCTTGTTCATATACTCTCTCCGTTCTTTAATAAATGATGTTTTAAGCTTCTAATTTTGTTCTTAAATAAATGATGTTTTTTTTTTTTAGTTTACAAAAAAAATATATATATATATATATATATATTTGATGTTTTCAGTTTTCAATGCAAAATTAATTACTTTTTATTAGTTTTGACAATTTATATTCTGTAGATTATTTTTTTGTTGATTGATTAGATAATAAATGATGTTTTAGTTTAGAAATAAACAAAAATTAAATGATTTCTTAATCGATGTGTATTTTTCTAAAACATCACTTATAAAAGAACGGAGGGAGTATATGAATAAATTGTTCATATAGAAATTAAGAATGCTTTTTGAACATTATGATACTAGATCATGACCCGCACATACGTGCGGGATTTCGTATTTTAAGAAATGTATTGTAATAAAGTTTTAGTAAATATAGATTATTTTGTTGTTTTGTTGATATATATTGTAGTATATAAATTATAATGTACTGTATCAAATGTTGAACCTGGAAAAGAAAACTCAATTCCGTATAATTTAAATACTTAACTGAGGAACATAAATAAAGAGAACTTCTATAAAGAGTGTTTAGAATCAAACAGGATAAGAAAATAAGAAGAACCGAAAATGAATGAATATAATATTTATAGCACCAAACATGATAAACATCCATACGAAGACAGTTTTATGTCTTGAATTCCTTACAATCAAATCTCTTGCTTTGGCCAATAGACAATAAAAAGGAGAGATTAAAATGTGTTTAACAGATACAAAATTAAATATATGATAACGTTTATGAAATATATTTTCTTTGTGAATGGATCAATAAGCGACTTGTGATCTAGTGTTGACCCTAAAACAAAAAACCATAAAGATATTCATAGGAGGTTAGTAAAATTAGGAGATAAACATCATAAGAACATGAAGTAATTTACTTTTAGATCTCCATCTATTGTTTAAAGAATCGATTTTCTAGATTAACTATGAGATAATCAACGTGGATGTATGCATAATGATATTTAAATTACATTTTAATATTTTTTTAAAAAGAAAATAATCAAATTTAGAAGAATGTATATTCCAAAAGCTTGTAACAATTTGTTACGAAATAAAATAATTTATTTGATTTGAAATATATTAAACTTTTTTTTTTTGGTAAGAAAAATATTAACTTATTTGGAGATATAGTAACTAATATAATACATTTCAAAAATATATTTTCTTTTATATAACTCAAATTTAGTTTAGTAATATATATTTAAAATATTGAAAACTACCCGTTTTTTTAAAAAATATTTTAATGTATACTGCAAATATTTTCTAGATATTTACATATCTAAAATCCAAAACTTATTTGTTGAATATGCTATATTTAAAAGGATGAAAGTATTTAGTTTAGATTATATATGATAAATATACTAAATGTTTTTTTATATTTGGAAAATAAAATTTGAAATCTTTTATTTTTCATGTGATTTAATCAGAATTAATTAGCATAGTTTTGTTACGAAAATCTTTTAAAATCTAAACTAAATAATAATTTGTTATTAAATTAGATTGTCGTTTCCAGAAATATCTAATAAGTAATAATATATTACCAAAATAAATAAGTTTACATATATATATTTTTGAATTAAATATCTTGATTTATTATGGAATCTTCTTTAAACAATCTCCAAAAATATTAGGCAGTTATTAATTTATTAATTTTAATTTTGATTTTTTCAATTGTTTTTTCTTTCTTCAAATTAAAAAAAAAAATCAATGGCATTCTATGTAATATTCTACAACTTAAAGGTTTTTTATTATCTAGTGATTCCCAATTAATAGTATAGATTCGTATTTCTCCCAAGTTAACCAATAACCAGACTATTCTATTTCTAATATACGGCTTTATATATTGAATAAATCATAAATAGAAATTGTTGGTAAAGTATGTACCTTGTGTTACTTTTAAACCAACTGCAAGTTGTTACAAGTTTGTAACACATGACCAACTTGTTTAGATGATGCAATAAACATCAAGATTTTTAAGTTTTAAGTCAAACTATTATGCTCTACACTGGATTTATAACTATCGTCATTAAGAGCATCATAGCTATTGATTAAATAATACTAAATCAAAAACCATATAGTATTACATATATATGTAGGTGGAACGTAACCAAACATACTAGTAAAGTATGATAAGTGATAACATCTTTAATTGTCATAATATCCCCATTAGCTAGGCTCAAACAAATCTAATTTGTTCATGATGAGCTGCAAAACATGATCTTCTTCACGGCAGCATATTTCTTAATTAATAGAAAACAAATTACTCGATACCATAACTTTACAAAGAAACTTATAACTCCACAAAAAAAATTACTCGCTCGATTCCTTGATTGACGTTTTGAATTTTCCAAATATATCAAAAACCAATAAATATTTATACTTTTCTTTTTCCACTATAATTAATAAAAAAAATAGACCACCACATATTTTTTTTTTTAAATAAACGTATAAAATTTTGTGTACAAATATCTTTAACTGATATTTGTGTTATTATTGTTGTTGTGATATGATCCGAACTGAAATAAAATAATATGTGCATATGCGAATATTGGTTTTTCAAATATATTAACAACCAATAACTCATACAGTATATATTTATATTTGACAGCAGTGAAAGAACATCAATCTAACCGGCTAGGTTATCATTATTTGGACTGCAAAACATTATTCCTGTGGTTACCGGATCTGAGACCAAAAAAAAAAAATCATTTACTCTTCGAGTCATGCAAGTGCTATGTTTTGTCCACAGTAATAATAAAAGATACACCAAATGAGGAAAATCGGGTTTAGAAATATTCAACTAATTAGAAGTGCAATGATCACTTTCAAGTAGTATCAATCATTTGGTAAGCAAAACACAATAACTGTGCATGAGCAAATCTTCATACGAGAAGCCGATATATATCCACAAATCTGTTAATTCACAATGATCTTGCAACTTGCTACATTGATGTGAGTATACGACATATGATGATAACTATTTCAATTTTGGAGCCCACTGGTTTCGTGGATTGTAGTCTTACCTTGAAAGCAGCCCTAGTGATCAACTAGATGAAGACCAATTAAAATGGTTGGACAAACTTTTACATCCCACTGGTCATATGTTTAACTTCAATGTGACGTATTTAAATTCTTCTCTTCCTCTTCTGGTTATATAAAATTATAAACGGACAATAAATGCTATATTTAAAAATAATATATCAAAAATTTGTAAACCACATTTTCTTTTTGGATAATTGATATGAACTAGCAAAAGTTATAAACAGGTTCTCGGTGATCCATTCTTCTTCTTTCATTCTTTTTTCCTGAAATTTTGTGACTATCATTTTCACCAAGAATTTAACATATATATTCTGTGGATAGCATTGAATTTTAAAGTTTTTTCCTCTTACTTTTTTCTTAGTCATATAGTATAAAAAGATTATAGATTGAACAATATACCTTTTTGATTTAGTAATTTTAATTTGATTTTGATTTTCTGCACTAGCTCAACAATCTTTGGATCATCGGTAGTGTCAGACTAATCATGGCTTTTATATGCCCAAATTTTTTTAGAATGTTAAAAAGTCACTTTTATTAACTAAACAGCTGTTGTGCAAGAAGAATCCCACCGTCAATCACGTGTTTCATCACTCCATCTGCCGCCACGCGTCAACCACACACTCGTTCTCCAATCATATGCTTTGCTCCTCCCGCCGATTAGAAAAAGTAAAACGGTAGTTAATGTTTTACGGTCACCGGAATCTGTTATAAAATTGAAAACTGTCTCTTGAGTCTTCTTTGTTTTACAGTTGTCAAAAACTTTTTATATTTTTAATATTATCATATGCAATATGCAATTCGGTTCATAAATTCGTTATAAAATAAAAATAAGATTTGAATGCGGCACGTTGCTTCCATCTATTTAATCATTTGATAATGATACATGAACCATAATCATATGGCATGTTTAGTGATTGATACCTTCTCTAATGTCGCCTAGTTGATCTACTTTGGTCCGATAGATTTATAAGAAAAAACACATGAGATTAGTTTTGAGAATGTTCATTTGATATATAGAGTTTTGAAAATTTTAGAAGAAAAATATTTGAAATTTAATTTTGAAGCTTACGGGTGGGTCTTTATGAACAAAATAACTAAACTTATGAGTGAGATTATATTTCGTGGTTGGTCATTTCAAACATGTATATGTCAGAAAACATAATTTCAACTACACTACTTCTCTACCAGCTTTTATACCAAATTCCAATTTTAAAAGTTTTGTTTGTTTGGTTTAATACCAAATTATAAATGTTACTATAAGAAATTCATGTAATTTAGAACAATGATTGAATATTAAACAAAATAACTGAATATTTTTTGTGAGAAAGGTAGAGTTTTATTTTATTTAGCTCACTAGGTAACAAGCTCCATAAGAGATTTGACATCAAGTGACAAAAGTCTAAATAAGATTGAATTATTAAACACTTCACAATTGTTTTTGTAAAGAAAGTATATTTAAAAAGATAAGATAAGCTTCGAAATGAATAATCGTAATTCTCTTTTGAGGTTCAGATAGACCGAATTGACTTTGTTGTTTACTTGTTACATCACTTTGGTCCCTTTGTTTGGTTACTTCTTTACATCAACTATCTTTTTTTTTATGTATATATAAAGAAACAATGCATATGTTATGATGTATCATAATTTTTTAATATGAAAACCTGTCCACCAATCGTATAGTCTCTAACAATTTTCCGATTAAATCTGTCATATATATTTGCTAAAAAAATAAAACAGAATCGTTGGCTTCTAGTTTTGGACTAGGTTTCCTTTATTGAAAAGAGAAGGAGTTGGCGATCGCCGAAACAACGGTGAGGTTGTACGCAGAGGAAAAAAATCACTTTGTACCAAATGAAAAGACAAAAAAAAGTCCATATTCCCGAACAAATCGTCAGCCGTTTGTTGGCTGTGGAACGCGTAATTCACAAGCTGGCTGATAAAGAGATTCTTTACATAACAAACATTTCAACAACACCATTACATTACATTACCGATCCGACCGGATCACGTCACCCACCCCCGACATTCGGGTCGGATCCCTATCCAACCCAATTCAACAGAACACCTTTTGTGACGTGTCAACTCACTACTGCTTTTAGCATTTCTGAACTCAAGTCTTCTTCACGCTTGAACCCCTCATTTTATGTCAATCTTTGATATCTCACCCCTTACATTAATGTTTTTTCCAGTCAACCCCACAATCATCAATGTTATTTTGACCAACTAATCAATTAATCGATTAAAGGACATGACATGATTCGAAACTTAAAGTTTGCAATAATAAACGAAATATTATACTATACTCAAGAGGTAAAAAAAAAAAATGTATTTTATATGCTCCCATATACCTTATTGTACTAGTTAACCATCTTTAAGTTTACTTAAATCATATTATTTCCAAGATGAATTATATATTTAACATTAATATTTAAACAATAGTTGTTTTCAAATTAAAAAAAATATCATAAATTTGAAATCAAGTTATTTTATCCCAACTAAAAGATGCTCATGAGTAACTTTTACAAAATCATTAGATTCGTTCATCTATTTCTGTTAAAGTTTCTTTTTATGTTTGGATTAAAAAAAAAACTAGAGAACCAAGATTTTTTTATGTAAAACCACATAAACTTATTAGATTTGAATATTATTTTGTGTGATAATTTATTAAGTCAGTAGTATTAAGGGGGTTATTATAACAGAAAAGAAAAAGGGTCCAATTGATAAGGAAATAATAATGTCGGGTAAAATCTGAAAACATTTTGGTATATAAACACATCATCTTCTCGTACACACCACAATTCTTTGTTTTATTAGTATAACTTTTTTTTTTTTTTTTTGGTTTCACGAAAACGAACGGATCAGTGTCGGCTCTTGGGTTCCGAACAAAAAAAACATTGTACGTCGGATCCAAACAAAACGCGCGTTATACAAACGCTTAATTTCTCCGGGATTCTTCTGCTTCCACCATTGCTCGAAAATCGCGTCTTCTGACAATGTGCTGAAACTGAGTCATCGTCCGAGTTAGCAAAGTGAAACTTCGAAGTTTCTCTTACACTAATCTCAGGTTTGGGATTTGGTAAGAAAACCGCGTTTACAAGTAAGTGCGTTTGCGGCTGAAACTTTCTTTCCAAGAAAGATTTATTCTTTTCCCAGTTTGCAAAAGCAAAAACTTTCTTGTTGATTCCTTCTACGTAGAGGGAAAGATTTCGAATTTCTTTTTGCATTGCCTTTTCGAGAAAAAACATTTCTGACAAAATCGAATCCATAGATGAAATTTTCCTCTCTGTAAATTTTCTGGTAAAAAAATTTCTCTTTTAATTTTATCAGCTGGAAATTGAAATCTCAGGTACCGCAAAAATCTACTAAAAACTGAAAGTATCGTTTTTTCAGAGACCAAAATGCTATAAAAATGGTGTGAACATATAGTTCGGATCTAATTTAAGAAAATTTGTCTTTTTTAAGTACTATAGTGTCATTTTTGTTAGCTATTTTCTTCTACTTGTACTTCAATTTTATAAAGTTCTTTAATTTATTTATTTTGCTTGTTTTCTTTCACCAGAATGTTCAAGTTCAAGAAATGGTTGATTCTTTTGGTGTGTTCGTTAGTAATAATGAAGACAGAAGGACTCTTTGTTAATATTACATATGTTAGAAACGCAGTCGCAAAAGGGGCCGGTAAGTTATAAATTCTATATATATATATATATATATATATATATATTTATATTTTATGTTCCTACAATTTATTTGTGTTTTTTTATTCTTCATTTATGTTTGTTTGATTTTGCAGTTTGTTTGGATGGAAGTCCACCAGCTTATCATTTAGACAGAGGTTCTGGAACTGGAATCAATAGCTGGTTGATACAGCTTGAGGTTTTGTTCTGTTTTTTTTTTTTTTTCTCTTGTGTTATGATGTTGTTCTTGCTTTGCCTTAGTGAGCATGCGTTTATCGAATAGTTTATCGCCTTTATCGGTTGCTGGTTTGATGTTTTGGGACTTGGGAGATGATTTTTGAGTGAAGTTTTTGTGGATGTTAATTGCGTGTTTTTGGAAATGCTTTGATTTAGGGAGGAGGATGGTGCAATAATGTAACAAATTGCGTTAGTCGGATGCATACTCGATTAGGTTCATCGAAGAAAATGGTGGAGAACCTTGCTTTCTCAGCTATTCTTAGCAATAAGAAACAATATAATCCTGGTATGAAGGATAATAGCTTTTGACCAACTTGTTGATCAAACATAAAGTTAAAAGTTTTTTTATAATGGGTTTGGTTGGTTCTTTTTGGGAATGGCAGATTTTTACAATTGGAATAGAGTGAAAGTTAGATACTGTGACGGGTCATCATTCACAGGAGATGTGCAAGCAGTGAACCCTGTGAGTACTAAGAAGAAAACATGAGATTTATTTAGTGTTTTCTTACTTTATTCGATAATCATAATGGTAATTTGATCAGGCTACTAATCTTCACTTCAGAGGTGCTCGAGTTTGGCTTGCCGTTATGCAAGAGCTGCTAGCTAAAGGCATGATAAACGCCGAGAATGTTAGCTTTTCTTGCCTTCACAAAATTTCTCCAATCTCCATTAACTCTTGCAAGCTTTTAACCCTTCAAAGTGGTCTAAAACGTTTATGAAACTATGGCAGGCTGTTTTGTCTGGATGTTCAGCTGGCGGGTTAGCTTCGCTGATGCATTGTGACAGTTTCCGTGCTCTATTACCGATGGGAACCAAAGTAAAATGTCTTTCAGATGCTGGTTTTTTTCTCAACACGTAAGACCATTACTCTGTTTTTGATCCTTCCCTATCTATCATCAACTGACTGAAAAAAGTTAATAATGACATTTTCATTGGTATGTTTTCAGAAGAGATGTCTCAGGAGTTCAATACATTAAATCATACTTCGAAGATGTGGTTACTCTTCATGTAAGCTTTCTATTTCCCTTTTGCTCTCTAGTGACAGTTAATTCAGTTGCTCATTCTTGTTATTGGAACTTTTTAATGAAACGTTTTTGCAGGGATCAGCAAAGAACTTGCCGAGGTCATGCACATCAAGATTAACTCCTGCAATGGTAAAGTAGCATTCATGTTATCTCTTTAAAGACTTTTTTTTTTTGTTTCTCTTCAATTCTTACTCGTATAATCAATTACCAAAAATCTGCAGTGTTTCTTTCCGCAATACGTGGCTCGCCAGATTAGAACTCCTCTGTTCATTCTTAATGCTGCTTACGACTCTTGGCAGGTAGTTTATCTCTTTGTCACTGCAAGATTTGTTCAAAGAACAGATCTTTCAGCTATTTTCCATAATCTAACTTCAAAAACTCAACATTAGTTTCACATTTCTTTATCAGATAAAGAACATTTTGGCTCCGCGGGCAGCTGATCCTTACGGAAAATGGCAAAGTTGTCAACTTGACATCAAGAATTGTCATCCAAGCCAGATCAAAGTTATGCAAGGTTAGCCTTAGAACCAAAAATTATGATCTGATTTTGCTGGATCCTTTCTTAACATCAAATGCATAAAAAGTGTCTAAAAATTCCGGGTTTTATGCTCTTATAGATTTCAGGTTAGAGTTCTTGAGTGCAGTGATAGGTTTAGGGAGGTCTTCATCAAGAGGAATGTTCATAGATTCTTGCTACACTCACTGCCAAACCGAGACACAAACTTCATGGTTCTGGCAAGATTCTCCAATTCTAAACCGAACGGTAAGAACTCGCACAAAAATGCAGATTTTCTTCAAACAAAATGTCATTAGAATCAATGAATATGATCATTATTTCTTATTAATTTGCAGACAATAGCAAAAGCTGTTGGAGATTGGGTTTATGACAGAACATTGTTTCAGAAGATAGATTGTCCTTACCCTTGTAACCCTACTTGCCACCACAGGGTTTTCACTCCTCTAGATGCTCCTCCAATTTAAGAGGTTCTACTATATAACATATATATAGATTTATTATTATTTTTGAAAAGAAAATATGCTTATAAATGATTGATTGGTCAGATATATAGTGAGATATTCATAGGGTTTAGCTATAGAAGAAGAGAGAGAGAAAAAGAGTGTGATTAATTCAAGAGTGTTGAGAATAAGCAATAGGAGTAATTTTCTTCAGCACTTGTTATGTGCTGTTTATGTTGCTCTTTCATTCTTATGTAAAATGCAAAATTGTTTCTTTTACTCAATTAAATAAAGTAGCATTATTTTCCAGCTTTATATGTTTGGAGATTTTCTTTTTCGTGTAACAGTTATTTTCACACTGAATTAGTGAATTCATTATTTAGAGAATTAGTGAATTTAGAACATGGAAATCTAAACATTTTGATTGTTTGTTTCAAACACTGAAGATTTCCATAGGCAATAATAATGTGGACTAGTGAAAACACATAATAATATTTTAAACTTTATCTAACGACAATAATCCGTCATCACTACTAATATTACGATACACTACAATTAAGTCATGAAGAACTCGTTAATACAACTCTCATCGGATTAGATAGGCTAAGTGTCTCCTTGATCCCCTGGTGGAGGCGTGGACAAGATCTTGGCAGCTTCAGAATTGCACATCTCAATGGTATTCAAAACAAGGGTAAGAGTAGCAATGTCGGTGGCATTAGCAACAACATCTTGCAACTTGGAAAGATGGTTACCAATCTGATCAATCAAAGAATGAGCTTCTTTCCTTAGTTGAATTCTCTTCTCATTATCATCCATATTTTGCCTGTAAAAAAACACAAACACAAACACAATTATTTACCTCATAACAATCTTTAAAATCGCTACATTATTGGATCTCAGACAAAGCAATAAACAAAAGTTAATCAATCTAAGCAAATCAAGTATTTAATAAAATTTAGCTCAGAAAAATCAGGAGATTCTGTTGTTTCCAGAAATTTCGAGATCCAATTCTTTAACATAAAAAAAAGGCTCTACAAAGTCATAAACAAAGCAAAAGAAGAATTACCTTTTCAATGGATACTTTGATGATCAGATCTCTAGTTTCATCGGAGAGGTTCGGTGGCTAAACGCAACTCAAATTATGAGACGACCACTTTATACCAACATAAAAAAAAAAAACCCTAAAATTAGACTCTGTTTACATGTTTGGGCCCTTCACACTTTTCTCCTTTTGGCCCAATCAATATAGGTCCAATCAAAACCTGTCCACACTTCTCAATCACTAAAAAATGCAACTACTATTTATAGTTTAAACTATAAAGAATCCGTCGGGAATATGCGACGGATTTTCGACGGGAGGCCTGTCGTCGGAAATCCGATAGAATATTATTGGAAAAGAATCAAAAATTTCCGACCGTTTTTTTCTGTCAGAAAATCCGTCGAAAAGAGCCTTGTTTTCTTGTATAAATTTATACTATTCTCAACGTCATCATTATTGGTTTACTTGTTTGATCTTTTGGGACTGAGGAGATGATTTTTTGACTGAAAATATATTTGAAGTTTTGTGTTTTTGTTTTTGTAAATGCTTGATTTAAGAAGGACGATGGTGCAATAATATAACACATTTTTATCAAAATAAAAAATAATATAAGAAATTGCGTTAGTCGGATGCATACTCTATTAGGTTCATTGAAGAAATTGGTGGAGTTGCTTTCTCAGCAATTCTTAGCATTAAGAAACAATATAATGGTATGAATGCTTATAGCTTTTGACTAATTTGTTGATCAAACATAAGTTGAGTTTTCTCTTGTGGGTTTTGGTTGGTTCTTCATCGAAATGACAAATTTTTACAAGCTTTTGACACTTGCAAAGTGGTTTAAAACGTTGTTATTTTGGCTCTGCGCGCCGCTGATCCTTACGTTAAATGGCAAAGATGTAAACTTGAATAAGATGGTTTCAACATTTTCCGGGTTGTATGTTCTTTTATATCTTAGGCTAGAGTTCTTGAGCGTAAAGATAAGTTTAGAAAGATCTTCATCAAGAGGGATGTTCATAGACTCTTGCTACACTTACTGCAAAACCAAGACATAAATTTCATGGTTCTGGCAAGATTTTCCATTTTCAAACCGAGCTTTAAAAACTCGAGACATAAAAAACCTTCTCCAAATTCATGTGAAACAAAACGATGTACATTATGTTCTTCTTAATTTGCAAACATTAGTAAAAGTTGTTGGAGATTGGGTTTATGATAAGAACATTGTTTCAGAAGATAGATTGTCCTTACCCTTGTAACCCTACTTGCCATCACATGGTTTTCAATCCTCAAGATGCTCCTCCAATTTAAAGAGATTCTACTATACAACATATATATAGATTTATTATTATTATGTAAAAAGAAAATTTGCTTATAAATGATTCATTCGTCAGATATTCATAGGATTTAGCCCATATTCTAAAAATCGGACGCCTAGCCTCCTAGGCTAATCGGAAGGGGACTGCGACGATTTTGTCCAAATCGATAAAAAATCGGTGATCCGATTTTTTGTCCGCCTAGGCGGCTCTCTTACACAATAAAATAGAATAACTAAATAATTATATAATGCATAGTAAGGTCTTGAAAGAAAGCAAACCAAGAATAGTCTTTTATCACTAGGTTAAACTTGTTATTACTTATTCAATCAATAGATAAGTAACTATTTATTGATGAATCAATAGTTATTAATTATTTATAGTATTAGACTATTAATTTAGTATAAAACATACCTTATATTTAAATTATAATTTAAGATTTCTAAAATTTACAACAAATACTGAACCAATCATTTAAGCGAATAGTATAAGCTATATTTAAAAAAAAAAAATTGGATAAAAATTCGTGTTAAATCTTACATGGATGATCCATCTATCAATTGGTGTTAGATTTAAAAAAACATTTGAAAAAAAGAATATTAAAATCTTAACGTTGGATAACAAGTTTTTATTAAATTTTTCTGATAAAAATAGTTTTTCTGATAAAAAGGAAAACATTTATGCAAATTAAAGCAAGAGAATAAAAAAGAAAAAAATCAAAAAGGAGAGAAAAAAAAGTTTTTTTTTTTTTTTTTAATTTGCAACTTGTGGATGTGTATCTATAAACTGAAGAAGACAACAATGGCTGGCTTTTATAAACTGAAGAAATCTCTATCTCAATCTCTTCCAGATTCCTCTCTATCCATTTCATTAACACGAAAAGAAAAAGAAATAAAAAAAAACTATCCTTCTCTCTAACCAAACAAGAATTTAGACTCCATTTTTACAAGGTATGCTTTGTTTTTGTGAATTTAATTGTTATTTGATTGCATTTTAAACCTTTTATAGTTCTTCAATTTTGATATGTACTCAGATTTCTTTTTGTTCATTAACACAATTTCTTATTACAGCAAAAAAAAAGAATTTGAAGGACTCTTTTTGTTCATTTACAGCTTCGGTTATTTTGTGAATTCCTTTTTTAATTTAAATTAACTTAATTATATTGTCTCCTTTTATAGTTATGCCATCTTGATCTGTACTAAGATAGTAATCATCATATAGAATTGTAGTTGCTGTAAAATGACTAAAAAATATCTGAATATTTGGTTTTAATCTTATTAGATCGAAATCCGCGCTATGCTGCAGGGTAAATTTTAAAAAAAATTATTTTTAAAGAAGTTGTTTAACATCAAGTAATTTTTAGAAAACAATATACATGAGATAAATTTAACAAGTGGTGTAAGCTGCTGGTAGTTTTTGTAAATTAATTTGTTTTAATATAAGTATTTATGATAGACATTTAAACGATTTCTTGGATTTTGTATATACCTTTGCTCGTATTTTAGTTGTCTATATTTTATATTTTCTATATGCATACATAAATAAATAACTTTATATTTGTATTTGTTTGTTTTATTTAATGCTTTTAGTATATGTTTAATTTCTTACAAAAATTAGATTTTTATATTGTGATATGTAAATATTTTTCCAGCGACTACTATACTTTAAAAACCTTAGATTCTTTCTGTTAAATTTATTTATGGTACTCAAGCATAATTTGAACCATACAAAAAATAATTAATATATCTTTTGTTTCTTTAGATAATTATTTTACCATTAGATCACAATAATTAACGATGCGAAGTTTATTTTGTGTGTATTTTGTTCTTTTAAATTTGAACACTATAAACAATTTATAACTTTAAAATATCTATTTTGTTTGTTCTAATATTGCTGAAGAATCAATAAATCCAAGGTAAAAAAAAAACTATAATTACTGGTAGCCAACAAACAACAACAAGTTTTTTTCCATATACAGTAAAACCTCTATAAATTAATAATGTTGGGACCAAGAAATATTATTAATTTAGAGAGATATTAATTTATCGATAAATTAATAATTATTAATTTATAGAGAGATTTTCCTAATTTGTAATTTCTTATAAAAAATTTTTTGTTAAAAACTAATTACAAGTAGAGAAACAATTATTAAGTTTAAAAAACAACACAAACTTTTTTCGAATAATAGAATCATATTTCATCAAATTTCTTACATATAATATTTGAAATATATATCATAGTAATTCATATATAACATATATAAATTTATATAAGAGAAATTGCACCCTATAACCTAAAAAAACAACAAAATTAAATATCTAACCTCTAACCCTCATATTCACTCTCTTTCTCTTCCTATCTCTCTCTACCTTCTTTCTAAAAAACTAATTTTTCTTTTTTTTTGGGTTATTCACCTAAATCACCCTTTATATATATATATATATATATATATATATATATATATATATATATTGATAAGTTAATACAATTATTAATTTATGTTATAGATGGGGCCATATGTTTACATGAGATTTTCAAAAAAATTATTATCTTATTAATTTATCGATTTATGTCATATTTTACACTGGTCCCAACTCGGGACCGGAAGAATTTATTAATTTAGAGAGGTTATTAATTTATGGAGTATTAATTTATGGAGGTTTTACTGTAGTTTTTATGACCACAACGATTGCCTTCATTTATCGATATCTATTTTGTTTTTTTCTAATATTCTAAAATTTTTTTATTATTTATGTAAAGGAGAATTAGCCCAATATTTCATTGACATCTAAATAATAATAAGCTCATTCATTTAAAACTATAAGCTCATGAAATAAGCTAGAAGAAATAAAAGAATGACGTGGAACAAATGAGTATTATAATTGGCAGAGAATAGCTGAGTTGTATTAATAAAATGTTTTCATTGGATGTTGATTTTAATTAAGTGCACTCTTAGAACAACTGAAAAAGCTGATGTCTCAACGTAAAAGAGATCCCTATTGTTTTTATTGTATTGATGTGTTGAATTTCTTAGAAAACAACTTTCTAAAATTTAAGGTTTTTGTTTTGTTTATTTAAACTTTTAAATAAACAAAGTTGTTGAATTGTGAAATTTCATATGATGTGAAAGAATATTTTAGTTATCTCATTATTAGCAACATAATTTTGGTAAACAATGGACATCATGTTATATAATTTGAAATAATAATACTTGCTTTAGTGGACTACACTATTCAAGATAGTAATTATAGGCAACTAAAAAGATAGAATAGAATATAAACTCTTAAAGTCATCAACTAGTAATTAATTACTAAATAAGTCACCAACAACCATGTAATCCATTTAACATAAATAGTAGAATCAACTACTAATTAAATAAGTCATCAACTACAAATCATATAAAACTACTAAATCCCTTAGTTCAACTCCTCATCTGTGTTGGAATGAGCGTCTTCTTCGTGATTCTCTAGCGGAGGATTCGCGGCGGCAAATTGAGGATACTAGCCGCATGATTCTCACAGTTTTCCATGACGTTTTCGATCTGCATGATTGGACCTGTGTTGTTGGCCATGTCTGCCAAATCATAGAGTTTACTCAGATTGATCCCAATGTCATTGAGCAAGCCGAATGTGACATTCTTGAGTTGCTGTCTCTGATGGTTAGGATCCATTGAGGTTGTAGCAAAGAAAAAAACACAAAAAAAAAATGATCTCAGTAATTAATAAACCAGTTCCTAAATCTAAGCAAAATAAATCGGATCACAATATTATATTTGTTTCCAAATAAATCATGAAATCATCCATAGACTAACCAT